CTGGTGGCTCATGCCTGTAATCCCAGCACTTTGGGAGGCCAAGGCGGGTGGATCACCTGAGGTCAGGAGTTCGAGACCAGCCTGGCCAACATGGTGAAACCCCGTCCCCACTAAAAATACAAAAATCAGCCAGGTATGGTGGCATGTGCCTGTAATCACAGCTACTAGGGAGGCTGAGGCAGGAGAATTGCTTGAACCTGGGAGGTGGAGGTTGCAGTGAGGCAAGATTGAGCCACTGCACTCCAGCCTAGGCAATGAGAAAAACTCCATCTCAAAAATAAAATAAAATAATAAAATAAAACAGGAGAGGGAAGAAAACGAGAAGGACAAAGCAAGTAGTAGGGGCTGGGGATACAGGCCTCACCCCCAAACCAGCCAGCATGGCCTGCTTAGAGCAGGGGGACAGAGAGGCTGCCCCTTCACGAAAGTTCTATTTCTAGTGCCTGATGGCCCCTCATGCAGAGCTTGCCATCCAGTGCAGCATCTTTGAGTAGCATTAGTGCCAAACTACGTTTCATTAGAGCAAAGAGGAGTACACTTTGCTGACTCGATAACCGTGTTCCTTGCCAATCCTTGGTTCCCAGATACTTCATGGTTGGCATTGTACTCTAGAGAGAACCGTACTGATTTGGAAACTTCTGTTCTGATATGAGGGTCTCCGTTCCTCTCGGTGGCATTCACTGAAATGCTCCCCACCTCCTTCTCCCCTCACACATCAGTATCCTTCACTGATCTGGGGTGTGTTCATGATTTAGACTTAACAGAGCACTTCCTGGCATATAATTGCATATAAATGCATGCCATAGGATTGTGTACAGTTACTACAGATGGCTGAGTTTTTGCTCTAAGCTCCTTAACAGCCCATGCAAAGAAAGAAATAGGTTTATTACAAGATTGTTGTGACCCAACCATTTAAATGGAAAATTTAGTTGTTTGCAATTAGCATAGTTTTCCTGATTCTGAGAATGGATTCTTTGAGAATTCTTCCTCGTGTTGGGGGCAGGTTTTAATTCCTAGGCTTAGCTCTCTGAGCCAAGGGGCTTGCTCAGGTCTTTAAGCTGTAAGTGGTGGAGCTGAGGCCAGCACCCACATTTTCTGGCTGTGAAATATTTTTGTTCTTTATTAGAGGGCTTGTTCTCTGACTGTTGCATGCATGTATTTCTGGCTCATGAATCCTATTATTGCTTTACTTACATTTTTTTCTTCCACTTACTGTTTTAAAAGTCCATGCAAATTCCAAATTGCTTTCCAGAATCACTTGACATCAGCTTTGTTTGATAGTCCTTTTATCTCTCTCTCCTTAGTTCATTAGGCAAATAAAGTGAAAAACGCAAACCCCTTCTTTTAGCAGAGACTTCAGTGTATTTCTACTAGACAGATTCTGACAGCAACCCAGGAGGTAGAATTCTTACTTCTAGCGAGATCCCGCTCGTTTTAAAATTATTATTCACAAACAATAGCTACCATTGATTGAGTGTTTACTCTGTTTAAGGCACTGTGTTTAAGCGCTTCACTTCCATGATCCACTTTAATCCTCGGTTAGTTTACAATGCTTTTAGGATAGTGTTTTCATTTTGCAGTTGATGACGTTGAAATTTAGAGATTTTGAGGACGGATCTGATTCCAGAGTTTCTACTCTTAGCCACTATAAGCTATTGATTCTATGTAACTGCACACACTGATTTCTGAGCACTTCTTGGGGCCTTTGGGCCAAATCTTTCTGCTCTGTCTCTCTTATCTGTCTCTTTCTGTCTTTGTCTCCCCACTCCTCTCTAATTTTTTCTTTTTTCAGACAGAACCTCACTTTTTTGTTGTTGTTGTTAAGACGGAGTCCTGCTCGGTCGCCCAGGCTGGAATGCAGTGACGCAATCTCGGTTCACTGCAACTTCTGCCTCCAGGGTTCAAGCGATTTTCCTGCCTCAGCCTCCCGAGTAGCTGGGAACTACATGTGTGCATCACCATGCCTGGCTGATTTTTGTATTTTTAGTAGAGATGCAATTTCAACCATGTTGGCCAGGTTGGTCTTGAACTCCTGGCGTTAGGTGGACTGCCTGCCCAAGCCTCCCAAAGTGCAGGGATTACAGGCATAAGGCACCATGCCCGGCCAGAACTTCACTTGGAATAGAGACCCCGCAGAACCTAGAGCTGGGAAAATTCCCTTCCCATTGAACACCAGTTTTCCCTTGCCACAGAGCACCACTGCAGGTGTTTGAGCACACAGACTCCTGATTTATGCATGCATAGTTATTTACAAGGGATGTGCAGGGTGGACATGTGTTGGGGCTCGGACAACAATACCCCAAAGTATGGCACTTTGGCAGGCTGAGTACTTTGAACTGATGGAGTTTGGATGACCTCAGAAGCAAGTTCTCTCTGACCTTCTCCTGCCCTCCTGTACCCCTTGTGCCCCTCTTTCTCCCCTGAGATGAGTCATAGAAACCAGAGTTCCCCTTCCCCAAGGTGAGTCATAGAAATTCTTCCCCCAAAGCCACCCATAAAACCTAAAAATATGACTCAGGCCTTCCCCCACCCTTCTGCACAGAAACTGGCTGTAAAGAAATTCTCTGACCAACTTTGTCTGAGAGTAGGTCCTAAGACCCTCATTCCAGAGGGGTCGTGCCCCATACCTAGAAAGAAGGAATGCTGCACAGAGAGGCCAGGACGAATCTGCACAGACAGGCCCTGCTGGGTCCCCATCCTACCACCTCGGTCCATTAGAGTCGATCGGAACTTTCTGTCCAATCACATTTCTATACCACTGTCAATTCCTCATTGAGTCTAAGCATAAAAATGGACGGTTCTCCCTGAGCCTTTCGGTATTCATTTCTGAAGACTCACATGTCACGGTAAACTTTGATGAAATAAAATGGTTATGCTTTCCTTTTGTTAGTCTGCCTTTTGTTACAAGAGTGTCAGCCATGACCCATATGACTGGTGAGGAAAAGTATCCCACTTTTTCTCCCCTACACATGTATATCACTGTACACACTATTTTGTATACAAAATAGAGGGTTTTTTTGTTTTGTTTTTGTTTTTGTTTTGTTTTTTTTTTTAGACAGGGTCTCACTCTCATCGTCCGGGCCTGAATGCAGTGGCATGATCATAGCTCACTGCAGCCTTGACTTCCTAGGCTCAGGTGATACTCCCACCTTAGCCTCCCAAGTAGCTAGGACTACAGACACATGCCACCACCCCCAGCTAATTTTTGTATTTTCAGTAGAGATGGGGTTTCGCCATGTTGCCGAGACTTGTCTTGAATGCCTGGGCTCAAGTGATCCGCCTGCCTCGGCCCCCCAGCGTTGGGACGATAGGCCTGAGCCACTGCACCCAGCCAAAATAGAACTTTTAAAGGAAGAGGAAGAATACGAAAAGGATTTCTATTTTTTTTTCTTTTTGTATTCCAGTGCATTATCTTGCCCCACCCCCAGGCGTGTGCACACCCAGACTGGGCCTCAGGTCCCTGACCGTGGGTGAGTCCACGCTCTGCCTGGAACAGGAGCGTGTCTGGTGTCTTCCTAAGGACTTCCTTGGATACAGACCGTACAGTCCCTCTCCATCATTCTCCACTCTGTTTCCTGCTAGGCCAACCAATCTTCTTGCGTAGCGTCCAATACCGTTTGTCTGGGTGGAAATCCGTCTCCGCCGGGCCTTTCATGGAGATGGAGGAAAACTGATCAGCATTCCTCCTGCATAAACTTGATAGCACTTGACTCCGTTTGGAAGATTGTGGAAGCGAGTCTTTGCTGTGTTTATGAGACCCCCAGGGTTGTTGCGAAGATCAGGTGATAAAGAGGATAAAGAATTTTGCGATACACAAAGGGCTTCCAGAAATGTCAAGTGATATTATTAGCAGTGATTTGCATTAATGAAGGGAAGAACGGAGGGAAATTAAATGGGACACTTTGGACACGTGTAAGGAAACTGTTGTCGGTCTAGCTCACTTCCCAGGCCGGGGAGCCTTCCTTCCTGGGAGGACCCATTTTCCTACACAGCTGCCCACAGCCCCCCTCCATCTCCACCTCCCTCTAGATAGGAAGAGAACTCAGGTCCGGCAAAGGCGGCGAATTCGCATGTCCAGGAAGCGGCGGAGCCCGAAGGTAGCCAGCAGGGGGCGGCATTGCGCAGGACAGGAGAAGGCAGCGGCCGAGTTCCTCATAAAATCCACGTGCCTGAGGCTAGGGAGGGTCCTCTAAGGTGTCTAAATAACCCTTAAAGCGGAATCAAGATTTGTTTTTTCTGCACTTAGAGAGTTTGCTTCCTCCCAGCCGGCTCGCTGAGCGCTGTGGAACCCTTCGGCTAGGCTTACCTGAAATCGGGCGCTTGTTCTGGGCCAGGCGCTGAAGAGGCTCCAGGAATCATACCTGCGCTGGGGGTGTGCAGGGTTCCAAGACTGACACAAGGGGAACTTTTCTATGCAAGGGCTAGCTGCTAGTGCCGGTATCAGACTTACTTTCCATTCATTTCAAGACAAATTGAGCTCAGATTACCGTTTTCTTTTTCGTTAAATGAATGGGGAATGAATGAATGAGATTTTCTGTTTTGAAGATTACGTTCCCCTCCCCTCCCCTCCCCTCCCCTACCCCTACCCCATCCTCCCCTACCCCTGCCCTCCCCTCCCCCTCCTTCTCTTCCCCTGATCCCAAAGTTGCTTCTTCGTTGCAGGAACACAGCGTAGGAAATTCGATGCATTCTCCCAGGAAGGAGCCTGGAGTGGGACTCAGGGGACCTGGGTGCTGGTCTCAGCCCCACGCCAGTCGTGGACAGGCCTCTGTTCCTTGGGCTTCTCGTCTGTAGAATCAGGGTTGGAGAGAGGATTTTTCTCCTTCTCTTCTACAAGGATGTGCTGCGACAGCCAGGGAAGGGCTGACCATGCACAGTGCTTTCATGCACAGGCTCTGTCACCAAAGAACCAGACCGGGCCACAGGCCATCCTGGGAGAGGGAAGAGCCCTTTAATGTGGGCAGAGGGAATGTTGGTCCGCCAGAGTTCCCTCTCAGGTGTGGTGGGAGTGGCAGTTGAATGGGGCAGTTGGAGAGGAGGACTTCAGGCAGGTGGGACAAGAGAAGCTGAATCTGAGGTCCTTGGGGAGAAGGAGGCCCAGGAGTCCTGGGCAGTAGGTGCCAGGCTCTGAGCCCCATGACTGCTGACCCTCCTCCCCTCCCTCTCATCCTCAGCCCAGGTAAAGCTTTTCCCTATAGCAATTAGCGGCCTCCATTTATTCCCACGGGCCCTTGTCTCTCATCCCCAGGACAGGCTGTGGGGAGGGGGGCGGTGACACCACTGAATGGGGCTGCCCAAGCGGGAGGCAGCAGGATCGAGGCTCCGAGAAGAAAGGCAGCCCCTTTTCCACTTTTGGAGCCCCCGTTATCATAAAAGAAAAGGCAGATATGCCAAGACACGATTTCAAAATCTCTGAAATACAAAAGCCTACATTGAATAATTTAAGTCTTTTTCCAAGCATGCACAAACACATATACAGGCTAGTGTTCACAATTTAATTATGGGATTTATACCCCCCACCCACCCAAAAAAAAAGACCTGGAATTCATGAAGCATCACTGTGGTTCTCATAGGAAGCTTTCCCCTTCCTTCCTTCCTTCCTTCCTTCCTCTCTCTCTCTCTCTTTCTTTCTTTCTCTTTTCTTTCTTTCTTTCTTTTCTTTTTTACTTAAAAATATATTATTTTCCTGTGAGTGTAGATTTCAGTTGCCCTGAATCCAGGCTCTTGCATCCTTCTCTGATCGTGTCGGAATGTGTCTGTAACTGGATGGATGACCTCGTTTGGAGATGCCATCACTGGCCACTGTTTTAGGACCTCTTGGGGATGAGGGGACTTGAGCAAAAGCACCCCACTTCCCTTCCCGCACTCCCAGCTTGGTGCTGTCCCCTGCATGCACTTCCCTCTGCCGCCTCTCTGCCTCCCCCTCCCTCCCAACGCCAGTCCCTCATCACTCACAGGGCTTTCTGGTCTGGCTGCTGCAGGTGCGGGGTACCTGGGGACAGACAGGAGAGCTGCGGTGTGGGCAGGGCCTGGGAGAGCTCCCAGTGTCTCCTCTGTGCTGGAGGCCTGTCAGGCCCTGGAGGAAGGGGCTGTGGGGGTTGGCGGAGACCATCAGATATTGATAACTTTGGTGGCTTTAAATTAAGAATGGATTTATTAAGAAAGAAGTAGGGCTGTAGTCTCGTACCTGGGAAAAATGTTATGACTAAAGGTGTGCCTGCTTTTGGTTGATGGAGGGACTCCCATCATGAGCACCAAGGAAGACCCAGAGTCCAATTCTCGAACATGAAGTTGTTAATTTTCTGGGCTAGACAGGGGCAGAAATGAAATATAACAGAACGAAGTGGGCAGGTGTGGAAAATGGTTCTTCTTGAGATGACTTCTAGACATCTTTTGTCCTCTCTTGGGGCAGAGACAAGGATAGAGAAAAAGGCCTCAGGAAACACTATAAGGAAGACAGTAGTGCTAATGCAATCATAAATGTTACGTGACCCCGAATCTCAGAGTCACAGAGACAGTAAGGAGTGGTGGGGACTGTGGCAAACTAAAGCATGTATGCCCTGCCCAGGAGGGGTTGCTGTGCTCAACGTGAGTGGATTGTCATCATGTGAGCATACAGAGCTCCTGATATTTGATGAAAGCCAGAAGCCAGTCTTATTTTTTTTTAATGTGGTATCTCCTCATTTTTAAATGTTTTCCACAAATTGGAAAAAAATGTTTAAACTACGCAGGCCATATAAAATGGAACTGCAAGTTGCACATGGTCCACAGTTTGTGTCCTGTGCTGTAAACAGAGCCCTTCTTGCTTCTGCCTGTCCAGTCTGTTGAGGTTAGGTTAAGAACCCCCTGCCTGCCAGCAGAGGGGTGCACCAACGACTTTTTGGCACCTCCTGCCAATCCTCAGATGCTCTGCATGGAAAATACAATGCCAAGAACAGAGACACGATGGCTGCAGGGACCCTGGCCGAGTCGGCACTGCCTCCTCCCAGCTCTCATCAGCTGCGCGCCCCTCAGACCCCATCCTGTGATTGCCAGCAAGCAGATTTCTCACCCCAGGCAGCTCCTCACTCCTGGCAGAGGATGGTGTGACAGACGGGGATAGAAACGTTAGCCAAAGCAGGCTTCCTGATTTAAAAAAAAGTCTCATTTTCCCCCCAGGGCTGCCAAATTTAGCAAAGTGCCATTCCAGCTGCAATGCTTCCAAGCCACCTCAGATCATCATAACTTCCCATGCCCTGGGGAGCACTCAAGGAAATTACCTTCTAGCACCAATTTCCTATGCACGCTGATTACTCAGACCTGGCCAGGGAGTCCTGGCCTCCAGTGTTTGGAATCTGGGACTCAGGAGCCCTAAAGACAAACTGATGACATCTTGCTGCCAGGGTCCCTTACCATTAGAAAAGGGAACCAAAAAATAGAAATTATAGGTAAGAGTTCTCCACTAACAATGAGTTCCACCCTCTCACAGGGGCTGGGAAAGATTAGCCTGGATGAGAGAAGCTAGCAACTGGGTGGTTGGGAGTGAGTTGTAGGAAATGACAATGGTCCTCAAATATCACAAGGCACATGAAGAGGACATCAGTGGAGGCTGCATGGCTCCTGAGAGCAGAGAAGTGTGCAGAAAAATTGCATTTAGTTCCACAGAAGGAAAAAAAATCGTCCTCTTTAGGGGTGTGTCCTTAGAAAATGCTTAACTTTTTATTTTGCGATGATTTCAGACTTACAGAAAAGTAACAGAAATAATGCTAAGAGATCCCAACTACCCTCCACTGAGATTTGCAGTGACATTTTTGCCACATTTACTTTAGCATTAATATCAAAATCAGGAAATTCATCTTTGATAAAATATTATTGCAGAATCTATAGTCCATATTTAAATTTCTCCAATGTTCCAATACTGTTCTTTTAAACATTTCATTTACTTATTTTTGTTTTTTTAGAGCAGGAGTGAAAATTTATTAAAAAGTTTTAGAGCAGGAACGGAAGAAAGTAAAGTACACTGGGAAGAGAGTCAGGTGGGTGACATGAGAGTCAAGTGCACAGTTTGACCTTTGACTTGGGCCAATAATGTTCTTTATAGCAAATTTATTTTCCTCTGTTCAAGCATCCAATCCAGGCTGTGTGTTGCTTTTAGCTGTCACATCTCTTCTGTATCCTTTAATCTGAGATGTTTCCTCACCTTTGTTTGTCTTCCGTACTATTGATGTTTTTGAAGAGCACAGGCCACTCGGGTTCGTCTGGTATTTTCTCAAGACTAGATGCAGGGTATGCATTTCCTACAGGAATACTATATGCGGGCTGTCTTGAGAAGAAGTGACTGGGGTCTGTCACCAAAGCGTGTTGAGGCCCGATCTGGTGGGCCAGAGGGAAATTCTCCATGAGAGGCTAGTTTGCCATGTCTTGGATTCTGTGATTCTCCCCCAAATAATTTCAGCTGGGTTTCAGAACTTGCCGTGAGCTCTTTCTTCTTCATCAGCGAATCTGCTTTCCTACCGCTGCTTTGCTCAGGTTACCAAGGGCAGGGCAGTGCCCCAGCGGCCATTGGGAGGTCATGGGTGGTTGATCAGGGACCACGGCTTGACTGTCCACTCTGCCCGGTGAGTTGCAGAGTGAGGGAGCATGCGGTAGAAAGACCGTGCCCAAAGGCTGCACTTGGGTTCAGGTTTCTTTTCTTGCTTCTGATCCAGACCAGGGCTGGGTTCTGTTGATGCAGGGAGCCAAGGACTATGCAAGAATGAGAGGCCAATTTTTAAGCTCTTCAGCCCCAGCATCTCTGCAGTGGATAGCTTCCCTTTGTCTCCGGAAGTAAACGCAGAGAGGTCAGCAGGAGGCTTCTCTGAGTGGGGGGTGCCTTGGGTAGAGAAAATTCTGAAGGGCTTTCTGGTAAACAAACAAATGGAAGTCTTGTGGAAAAGGATCCAAGGAAAGTTTTGAATCTGAAGCCTTTCACAGTCATGCCCAGCCTTGTCTCGACTCTTACCTAAGTCTGGTGCATAGAGCCTCACGACACAGGCACCACACACAAACCGAGGCTCAGCCTAAACTCTCTGTTTGGGCTTTTTCTCAAATCCTTCTAGTCTTACCTCCCACAAAAGTCCTTCCTAACCCCATCCTCCTCCCAGACCGTACTGACCTCTACTTTCTCAGAACTTCTGTAGCACGGGTCTGCATTACTCAGCGACACTGAGCACAGCCAGCCTGCTTTCAGGCTTTAGATTCTTAAAATTATGATCAGATATAACAGCAATGTGGGAGGAAACCAGAGTAACTTCCAGATCTTATTTCCCCACCCCTAGAGGTAACCATCATCTTGAATTTGGTGTAGAGTGTTCCCATTCACTTTGTAAAAATAAACTTTATTTTTTAAAACTGGTTTTGGTTTACAAAAAAATTGCAAAGTTAGTACAGGGTCTTCCAGTACCCTATATCCAGCTACCCTTGCTAATAACATTAATAACATCTCATGTTAGTATGGTATATGTGTTATAATTAATGCATTATATTGATACATTGTTAACTAATATTTATACTTTACTAGATTTCCTTTGTTTTTTATCTAATATCCTTTTTCAATTCCAGGATCTCAACCAAGAAGCCTCTTCACAAGTAGTTGTCAGGTCTCCTTAGGTGCCCCTTAGCTGTGTCACTGTCTCAGGTTCTCCTTGTCTTTGATGACCTTGACAATTTTGAGGAGTACCAGCCAGGTATTTTGTAGACTGTCCCTCAACTGGGATTTGTCTGATGTTTTTCTCATGATTAGACTGGCGTTATGGGCTTTTGGGCGGAGGACCTCAGAGGTAAAGTGCCCTTCTTGCCACATCATATTAAGGGTACACATTATCAACAGGACTTATCACTGCTGATGTTGACCTTGATTACCTGGCAGAGGTCATGTGTGCCAGGCTTCTTCACTGTAAAGTGGCTATTCTTTTTTCCTTCTTCATATGGTACTATACTCTTGGAAGCATCGGATTCTAGTTGATTAAGTTGTTTCTCACAGGGCTATGGGATGACAATTCTGATACTGCTATACGTGTACACTTAATTGAACAGTTAAGTAAACACATGGTAGATGGTGAGAGCCAGGCTTCTCACTTTTAGAATTGGAGCTTACAAATAAGCAAGGGGAGGAGGCTAGACTTGTGATAATTATGGTAATGGATTCAAGTTGGAGAGTCAGCATGAATCAGTATGAACTCACTGTTAGCTTAAAATAGATGTGGATGGTTACATATAGAAATATTTATAGATATGTGTTTATGCACTAGTTAATATGCATACATGTATTTCCTTACGTTGTCAGCTGAGAGGGCCTAGAAGCAGCAACGCCCTAATAACAAAGAATTTACCTAGTGTCCAGATCTTGGTTCTAATATGATTCTCCAATATAATGAATTTCAAGTACTTGGAGAAATGAAATTTTACTACAAATATAGTCATTATTAAATAAAATATATTATTATATATTGCAAGTACATGAATTTGTATATTGTATATTTTGCAAGTTTGTGAACTTTATATAAATGGCATCAGAATGTATGTATTTTTCTGCAGCTTTCTTCCCCCCTTTCAACTTGTCACATGAGCTATACACAAAGTTTGATATGTGGACTTAGTTTATTTATTTTTACCGTTGAATAGTAATATGCCAAACTCATATGATACAATTTATTCATCCATTTTCCTATTCATGGATGTTTAAGATATTGTAAAGAGAGCCACTCTAAATATTGCTGTAGAGGAGCCACAAAAATATTTTTTGCATGAGAGTCCATCCTCTGTGGATTGCTTCCTTGTGTTTTCCTAGATTGAACTTCAGTGTTGACACCAGTATGAGAGGAGAAAGGCTAGCAGGGGCAGGGAGGAAATTCAGAGGAGAATGGAAGACAGCCTGCAAAATTAGTGGCCACTCTGTATCTGACTGCTTGAACAGGCAGGCTTTCTCCAAGGCATATATATAATTAAGAAGGATAATTGCTGCCTATGTTAGTAAGACAATCTTTAACTTGACCAGATAATGCCAAATTGCTTTACAAATTAGTTATACAATTTATATTCCCACAAGGGGGGCTTAAGAGCTGCTCCATACATATGCCAAGACTTGCAATTTTTAGACTTTTAAATAATGTCTATTTGAAGAATGAGAAATGGCTGTTATTGTGATTGTGGTTTTAATTCATATTTTCCTGACACTCTGAGATTGAGCATATTTTTGTGTTTATTTGGATCATCTGTCAATTGTCTTTTGCTGGCTCCTCTAATTAATTGTTTGTCCTTCTGTTATTAATATATTGATAATTCTTTATAAGTCGCATACTGATTCTTTACAGTTAAATGGGTCACATCTATACCAGTATGTTGCTTCTCTTACAAATAATGTCTTCTGATTAATGGACATCTATAATTTCAATGTACTAGAATTTATCAAGATTTTGCTTTAGGACTTTTAAAAAAAATTGCTTTAAGAAATTCTTCCTTATCCTAAGATCATAAATACATATCTCTGTATATACTTTGCACTGTTAACATGGTATTCCTTTTTCACCTTGTTACTTTTAGCTTATTTGTGTCTTTATATTTAAAATAAACTTCTCATAGGAAGCATATCATTGGATCTTGTTTTTATATTCAGTCCAATAATCTTTGCTTTTTAATTGAAATGTTTAGTTCATTTATGTTTAATGTAATTATTGATATGGTTGGGTTTAAGCCTACTGGCTTGCTATTAATATTTGTCTTCTATTTATTCCTTTTGTTTTTTATTCTTCTGTCCCTCCTTGCTTACTTTTTTTTTTTTTAGTTAATCTACTATTTAGTGTTTCTTTTTATTTCCTTGACTGACTTCTTAGCTTTAACCCTTTTTAAAAAGTATTTTTTCCAAGGTTAACACAATGTTATGATTTATACTTTATTTATTATTTTTGTATCATCCCATACTTAATTTCAAAATAATTTATATTTTACTGTATGTTATTGTGTGCTTATTTTTCACTTTCTGGGGAGAGGATTTGCATCTTAGATGTTTTTCATACTTATTATTACTCATTCATTCAACAAATATGTATTAAACATCTACTATGTACCAGGGACTGTTCCAGGTATTGGAAATATAGCTGTGAACAAGACAAACATGAAGCCCACAGTTTGGGGAAATAAAAAAGTATGTAAGAAAGTTTTCTTAGAAAAGGAAATGTTTGAACTGAGCCTTGAAGGCTGAGCAGAAATTGGTCAAGTGAAGAAAGGGATCCTAGATGGTTCCAGGTTGTGGCGGTAGTGAATACAAAAACTAAAAAGCAGGAGGAATAAACAGTTTGTCCAGGGAGTAGTAAGATATTCCACATGGCTGGAGTGCAGCATTCAATAATACAAATAGAGGGTGGAGAGTAGAGTATGCAGCTTGTCCAGAGGTTTAGGGAGTCTCTGGTAGCTGCTAATATTCTCATTGAATAAGGAATCTACAGCTGGGTCTATGTATTTGTGTCATTAGTATTCATTAACTGCGGCTGGGCACAGTGGTTCATGCCTGTAATCCCAGCACTTTGGGAGGCTGAAGCAGGAAGATTGCTTGAGCCCAGGAGTTTGAGACTAACCTAGGCAACATGGCAAGACTTCATCTCTACTAGAAATACAAAAATTAGCTGGGCATGGTGGTGCACGCCTGTAGTCCCCGCTACTTGGGGAGCTGAGGAGGGAGGATTGCTTGAGCCCAGGAGGCAGAGGTTATGATGAGCTGAGATCATGCCACTGCACTCCAGCCTGGGCGACAGAGTGAGACCCTGTCTCAATTTTTTTTTTTTTTTTTTTTTTTTTTGGTGGCTCATGGCTGTAATTCCAGCACTTTGGGAGGCTGAGGCAGGTGAATCACCTGAGGTCAGGAGTTTGAGATCAGCCTGGCCAATATGGTGAAACCCCATCTCTACTAAAAATACAAAAATTAGCTAGATGCAGTGGCATGTGCCTCTAGTCCCAGCTACTCAGGAGGCTGAGGCTGGAGAATCGCTTGAACCCGGGAGGCAGATGTTGCAGGTAGCCAAGATGGCACGACTGCACCCCCGCCTGGGCGACAGAATGAAACTCCGTCTCAACAACAACTTTAAATTCATTAACAATGATTAAAGAGCTTTTCAGCAACTACTAGCTCTAAAACATGTGGGCTTCTCCATCTGACTACAAGTCTTCAGTTTCCATGTTTGGGGACTTATCTTTTTGAGATGAAGACATTATGATTTTCAAATTCTGTTGTAAGAAATACATATATTATTCCAGAGGAGTTGCTTCTTGTAATATAATACAAGCAAGGGTTATTGTAGGTTATTGGAGGAGGGAAGGAACATCAGTTTCCTGTATCCAGAGTGCCTCAGATGAGATAGATGCTACTCATTCTCTATATACTCTTGAGTAAGTCCTTCCTCTCTCTGGGCCTCTGTTTCCTCTTCTGTATAATGAGAAATGTGTAAAAGATTGCATCTGAGGACACTTCCAGCTCTGCCATGCCATGGTTTTATCAGCCACTAGCAACTTGATGGGAATCAGTTTATTCACTACTTCTAGCTATGGAAACTTCCAGAAAGAACTCATGGGAATGTGACCCCTGTTTATATATAATAATAAGGCCCTTGTTTGCAAGTGGCAGAGAACAACTCAACATACCTTAGGTAAAAAAGGAGAATTTATCTATAGAGTATGAGGAAGGGGCTGTCATGGGACCCTAGGGCAGGAATAGAGGGAGGCCTCAGGAAAGGACTAGGACTAGGCATGGGAAACCCTCAGGGATGATGCTCTATGGATTGGATTTAGGTGGCTGGAGAATGGGGTGGCTGGCTTGGGGACTGAACAGACATCGCAAAAAGTGTCCTTTCCATCTGGGTTGTTGGTTTTCATTTGGGGCAGCAGTCACAGAAGTGTGGGGAATGTGGGCCTGTCCAGATGTGGCTGGTCCTGGGGGATGGCTTTGTTGGAGTTCTCTGACCAGTGGGTATCAGGATGGAGGGGATGTGGATGCATAGACTCCTGGGGATCTGAGAGAATCTGAAAGAAGAAGGGGTGTGCGCATCTGTGTGCACAGGCGTGTGTGGGTGTATGTGCACGCGTGTGTGTGTGTGCATGTGTGTATGTCAGTCAAACTTCACTCTGAGTAATACTAAGAAAGAAAACCCATTTTCTTGGGGCTCTTTCCCTGGGCTGGGACTCAGCCTTGGTCACCGGGCTGGCTCCCAACCGAAACCACACCATAGGGTTTTCTGCTCTCGGCCAACCCAACATGAGAAAAGAGGAACCAAATGGTCCTACTAATAAGAAAGCCTCAGCGTAGTGTTAAGGGACGTAGCAGGTCTTCTGGCTACACTCCCCTACAAATGTGGAAAGCTCATTGGTGAAAACAGTTCTCAGGGGTCAAAGCAAAGGAACTGATCTGGGTAGAGTAGGGGCTGCCTGATCCCAATTAGACATCTTCACCTCTCAATAACCTTTGCCATTTCTCTGCCATAGAGTGAAAGTGTCCCCAGGCCAAAACCCCAGGGCTCCAGGCTGCCATCAGGATGGTGGGTGAAGGACCCTACCTTATCTCAGATCTGGACCAGCGAGGCCGGCGGAGATCCTTTGCAGACAGATATGACCCCAGCCTGAAGACCATGATCCCAGTGCGACCCTGTGCAAGGTAAGTCAGAAGAAAGATGGAAGGGAGGGCTAGGGCAGGACCTCCAGGAATGTCCATCAGGAGAGTGGGCACTGCTACTGCAACCCATCTGCTGCTCTATCTGCTGGTCCTTTTGTCCATCCACCCATGCACGCATTCATTCATTTATCAACCACTCACTTCCTTGCCTCCTCCTGCCCTTTGGTGAAAAGGAGGCAGTAGCTCAGGTTTAAGGAGAGCTTTTCATGATCTAGGACCTGTCCAAGTGCTTTACAAATATCTTCTCGTTTATTCTTCACAACCACCCTGGAGGTACTGTTACTATCTTTATCTGATAGGTGAGGAAACAGGTACAGAGAGGTTAAGTAACTTGCCTAAGGTTTGCCAGGTAGTTTTTGCTTTGTAACAAACTGTCTCAACACTTAGCAGCTTAAAACAATTGCCACTTCTTTAGCTTACAGCTTGATGGGTGACCCATAAAATAAAGCAATGTGGGCTGAGCTCAGCTGGGTGGTTCATTTGGTCTTGAGCAGACTTACTCCTGTACAGCAAGGTGGCTGTGCTGCTGGGGGTGGGCCGGCTGTTGGCTGGGGCATTGGGGCAACTGGACCCCATGTGTGCTCAACCTCCAGCAGGCTAGCCCAGGCTCAGTCACGCAGTAATGCGGCGGGCTTCCAAGGGAATGAGTGGCAGCACGCAGGGCTTCTTGAGATTCAGGTTTGCAACTGGCACACCACTTTTTTCACTGCATTCTATTGGCCAAAGCAGATCACAAGCCAGCTCAGATTCAAAGTGTGAGGAAACAGACTCGACTAATTGATGGAATGAGCTGCCAGGTCACATTCCAAGGGATTGGGAACAGATGGGGAGAGAAAATGGGGTCATTTTTGTAATCCAGGATAGAAAGTCAGGTAGTCTGATTTCTGAGCTCCCATGCTCAACCTTGCAGCATATTGTATTATTGTATATATTATTAGCATTATGCTAACAATAACTTTATGAAATGCTGCCTTTTCTACATGGAATGAGGCCCTGTGGTTTGTTCTCTGAGCAACAGAAAGCCAAGTGGCATTTCTATAATAAGTGGACACTGTGCTACCTTCTCCCAGCATCTCTGTCTGGGCCAAGGACACACACATTTGAACCCTCCAAGGTGACAAGTGGAGGTTGGAAGGGGAGGACATGGGCTATTATTCCTAGCCCCAGGAGATCTCTAACTGTCCACTTTTTCAACCAGTTTATAATCGCTTTGTGGAGAGGCAATGTGGGGAGGTGCTGAAGGGAATGATAGGACTCTGGAGTCAATAAGCAGTGGGTTTGAACTCCTGTCCCACCACTTTCCAGCAGTAAGACCTTGGGCAAATACTCTAAACTCTCTGTGCCTCAATGTTTTTGTCTATGAAATGGGCATATAATACTACCCTGCCACCCATCTTACTGAGTTGTTGTGAGGAATATATGAAGTAATGCATGACTGTATCATGAAAGTCACCTTTCAGGGAATTTTTACTATGTGCTGAGTACATAGTACCTTATTCACATGATTTTAGCTTGAATTCTCCCAAAAGCAGGGCCTCAGTCAAGAACTTGGAGGCAAATAGCTTATTTGAGAAGTGATTCCAAGGAGCAAGGAGAAAGATTTAGGGAGAGTGATGCATGGAAGGAGGAAAAGGTAACATGAGGTGTGGCCTCAGTGTCACTGCTGTGAGCAGAGGGGCCTGGATACTACTAGGTCCTTCTAGAAAGTGTCCAGTTTTCCACCCAGAGGATGTGAGGTGGACTCACATCACTAGTGAGTCCTAGTGAAGTTTTCACTACTCCCCTAGTGAAGTTTTGCCCCTGGGAGTATTAATGCCCCGAAAATCTGGGCAGGAGGAGGAGGAAGAGGAGGAGGAAAAAAAGGAAGAGAAGAAGGAAGGGGAGGGGAAAAAAGAAGGAAGAGGAGGAAGGGAAGAAGAAATGAAGAAGGAAGAGGAACAAAAAAAAAGGAAGCAATGAGTTTTGAGTATTATTACCTTTGTCTTTAAGACAATTTATTAAAACTTATGTAACTTAATTTTGAATATTGACTGTGTTTAACAACTAACTTGAAAAATTCCTGAAAATTTAACAATTGGCTCTCACCAGCTGGCCCCAGCACATCACGGCTAAAAGGGCTAATGAACATAATGAATGCAAGTCACAGCTTCTTCGTGCAGCTGTGGCTGTTACTGTAGTTACAAGTTCAATCCAGAGAGAGAGCTGGGGCAATGACCCCAATGCCCAGAACACTGAGCATCTCGTTTGTCTGCAGGTTGGCACCCAACCCGGTGGATGATGCGGGGCTGCTCTCCTTCGCCACATTTTCCTGGCTCACACCGGTGATGGTGAAAGGCTACCGGCAAAGGCTGACCGTGGACACCCTGCCCCCATTGTCGCCATATGACTCATCCGACACCAATGCGAAAAGGTAGCAGGATTTGCTTGGGTCACTGTATCAGTCCATTTTCATATTGCTATGAAGAAATACCCAAGAGTGGGTAATTTATAAAGAAAAAGAGGTTTAAAGGACTCAAAGTTCCATGTAACTGGGGAAGCCTGACAACCATGGTGGAAGGCGAAGGAGGAGTAAAAGGCATGTCTTACATGGTGGCAGGCAAGAGAGTGTGTGCAGAGGAATTGTCCTTTGTAAAACCATCAGATCTCATAAGACTTACTACCACACGAACAGCACAGGAAAACCTGCCCCCATGATTCAGTTACCTCCCACCGGGTCCCTCCCATGACAGGTGGAGATTATGGGAGCTACAATTCAAGATGAGATTTGGGTGGGGACACAGCCAAACTGTATCAGTCACCTCAGGACAGAAGCCCACTCTAGGGAAAGGGTCCCATAAACTCTTTTGTGTACTCCCTAGTTGTGTGCTTCATAATTTCCCCAACATGGAAAATGACACCCATGAGTGAGGGTAACCATTCTCTGAGATTCAGGCTGGACTGCATGAACTTCTTGGCCCAAGCTGTGGGGAGGTGGGAATTAGGCAGCATTAGCAGGGAGAGAGGACTCACTGGAGAGCTATGGCCTGAGGCTCAGGACCCTTCTGGCTGAGCTCCAGCTGGTTTGCAGGGGCACTGTATCAAGACAGAGGTGGCTGGAATCTCACTTTGCCCTGTGCTGGTCAGACCCCACCTGACCAGCATGCAGCTTAAGGTGTCAGGTTTTGTTTTACTTTAAACATCATTACTGGACTTTTATATTACAAAATATATTTAGGTTGATCCTAATGAAACTGCCAATATTTGACAATTTTAACTTGTAAAAATGTAAATGTCATTTGTCCAACCTAATTCATATTCATTATAAAAATGTGAAAGCAGCAGAAGTTTAAGCCGTGAAAGGATCTCTCCCATGCTCCTACTCTACTCCCTGGAGGCAAAGCACTGTGAAAATGTCAGTGCGACTCTGTCCAGAATTTTCCTACTCTGATTAAACACACCCTGGGCTACCGTCTTCTTCAGATCAGTACCTCTTCTTACCTCACAGGTCATGTTTTATTTTAATCTAAACAAAAAATGAAGCATGCTACATAACTGTTGATCATGTTGCTCTTTTCAGTTAAGAATTTATAAAGGCTTTTCCATGTTAGGACAAAGACATCAACTTCATTTTTTCCAGCAGCTGCATTGAACTCTGTGGTTCTGATTACATATATAATATGAAGAATGGGGAAGGCCTGGGAGTGTTAGTCATGGCCTCCTAATTGCTTCTAGAATTGTGCTTCTCCTCATTTGTGCCCCGAAGAAATCTCAGCTAGTGGTACATTCAAAAATCTACCTCCTGGAGAAAGTTGCCAGGGAGCTCTGAGGGCAAGGGACTGGACCAGCATCTGTGGAGCGCCGGCTCTCCTCCGTCCTCTCTGGCCAGTACTTCTCCATCTGTTCTTAATGTTTCCTCCCATCTACCTAGTGTCCACTTAGATCCTTGTCTCTCCCATGCCATGTTATGCTCCTAGGTGATCCCCTCCACTCCAAAGGCTTAAACACCAAACACACACTGACTCCTCCAATAACGTGTCCATGTCTATCTCCAGGCCACACCCCACTTCCAGATTCTGAAACTGTGTGGCCAGCATCTAATTGGACGGCTGCATTTGGATGCCTCATGAGCATCTTCTATCTAAAGCTGGACTTATTCTTGATCCAGGGCCCCAAACTGACACTATTCCTCTCCTCTTCTGCTTTTCCCCATCTCTGTCTCTATAAATATTCACACAGTTGGCCAAGCCCGAAAACTGGGGTCCATCCTTGAACCTCTTTCTCCTTTCCTCCCACATCTCATTCATCAGTAAGACCTGTTGTCGCTCTCTGTCCACTTTTCTTTAATTCCACTGCCACCTCTCACCTGGAGGCTGACAGTCTCCTGCTGCGGTCTCACACCATCATCCATCGCTTTCATAGCAGCCAATTGATCTTTTAGATGTGCAAAATGATCTTGTCACATCAGCTTAAAAATCTGTAATGGCTTCCTTTGCACTTGGAGTGAAACCTAAACTCCTGAAGGCCCTTGAGGTTTTCCCTAGGTCTTGTGAAGTCCCCCAAGGTCCCAAAAGTTCCTGCCTTGCTTCCCACTGTCCCATCAGCCCCCCCCCCTTTGTGCACCACACTCCTGTCTCTCTGGCCTTCTTCCAGATCTTTGAAATTAACAACGTCCTCGCTGCACTGAGAAGATTTTTCTCTTGGCCTGTCTGTTGCCTCTGCCTTCTTATAAGAGCTGACACTGTGGCAGAGATGGGTGGTAGGCAGAGGAAAAGAAGGCCTGGCAAGGACCCAGATGCCACAGACATACCAGCTTGTGTCTAGGCATTGGCCCCTGCCCTTCCCAAATCCCACCTGCTCAGGAAAAGCAGAAAGCTGAGCCGGTGCTGGAAGGTACCATCGCCAGGGAGGTGGGCTGTGCTGAGCACCCTTGCAAGAACGTGCCCAACAGCATAGCTTCAAACAGCACATAGAAGTGCCAATCCATTTTAAGCTTCCGTTTTTTTATCACAGATTTCGAGTCCTTTGGGATGAAGAGGTAGAAAGGGTGGGTCCTGAGAAGGCCTCTCTGAGCCGCGTGGTCTGGAAATTCCAGAGGACGCGCGTGTTGATGGACATCGTGGCCAACATACTGTGCATCATCATGGCAGCCATAGGGCCGGTGAGTGGGGCAGCCCTTCCTCCTCATCTGCTAGGTCCCCAGCCTAGCAAAGAATGCCATTAGTTACTTCCTCTACGAGCTGGTGGGTTTAGTGCATTGTCATTATCTGTGTGCTCCTTGGGGGCGAATTTTCATAAAGTGAATCCTTGTCAAGCACAGCAGCAGCCACCAAAATTAATTAAAAAGTTTGCCTCCTAAAGTCAGCTTGCTGGCATGATCTGAGGCCTCGTATGCCAGCCTCAGTCCTCAGTGGCCCTCTCTTCTCCCTACCATGCTGTTTTACAGACAGTTCTCATTCACCAAATCCTCCAGCAGACCGAGAGCACCTCTGGGAATGTCTGGGTTGGCATCGGCCTTTGCATAGCCCTTTTTGTCACCGAGTTTACCAAAGTCTTCTTCTGGGCCCTTGCCTGGGCCATCAACTACCGCACGGCCATCCGGTTGAAGGTGGCGCTCTCCACCTTGGTTTTTGAAAACCTGCTGTCCTTCAAGACATTGACGCACATCTCTGTTGGCGAGGTAAGCTGGCTCAGAGGAGTTTAATGTTGGAAAATGAGTCCTGAGTAGTTTGAGTGCATGTGAGATGTGGGTCCTGGATGGAGCACCTGCCTTCGTTTTGCTTGTCTGTGACCTCCCCTTCATGTCCCATCTCCTGGCTAAGTGAGGGGTGGAGATGCAAAACACCAGAGGAGTTCCGACACAGGAGGGCTCAGTTCAGGCTGGAGAATTTGGAGAGACTTCCTAGTTCCAGTGGGAACAGGGCTCAGGGAGACTTAATCCAGTTGCTTTGATGGTCTATGGGGACAGTGGAGCAGTACTGAGCACACTATAGGCGTTTAATACAATGGATTGACTGATGGCTTCAATAATCCCAATTGTGTAGCACAGGGAGTGCCAAAGCCACAATGAAGACCATGCCTGTTGGACTTCAGAGCTGACATTTTCTTAAGCTCTTAATCCTTGGCAATAAAATCCTTAACACTTATCAAAAACAACAAACAAACAAAACACACACAAACAACAACAACAAAAACTCCCTAATCAAGGGAACCCCAGGTGGTGTGGGGTAAGATAAGAGACTTGCTTCTTTCTTACAGTTGCTCTTTTAGCAAGCTCAAAGCATCTAATTATGATTAGATTCAGTTGCATACAGCAAAACGAAAATAACAGTGGATTAAACAAAAGGAATTAATTTCACTCTATGTTAAAGGAATCTAGAAGGGAATAACGCAGGGTTGCCACAGGAGCTTCCAGATCCTTCTGCCTTTATCACTATCTTTGCACCTGGCTCTCACCATGGTTCAAAAGTAGATGCTAGAGACCCAGCCATCCCAGCCACACTTCAGACAGGTGGTAGGAGAAAGAGGAACAGAAGAAGGGGTGCCTTTCAGGTTGAGGTGACTCCCTTTAAGATTTCATCACAAATGTCTCATTCTACACTTTGACTTACATCTCATTGCCCTCAACATGGACACATGGCCACACTCATTCCACAAAGAAGGCTGGGAAATGTAGTCTTTTCTGGGCCCATCTCTTCCCCGAAGAAGTGGAATTGTCTTCACAAGGAAGGCGGAAGTAGAAGGAGGTGGGGGAGATTGTGTAGACAGCTAGCAGTCCCTCCAGCATGCTTCCAGATGGTAACATTACACTTTGTCTTTCTGCATTGAGATGATCAGTCCTACAAGACCGGCCTCTCCAAAGTGGTACCAGAACCCATAAAACTCATCATATTGGTCCCCAGTGACCCCTTCCTGCTTTAGAGCAGTTTTTCTCCTTTCTCCCTAGATCCCCTCGGCCAGTCTGAAAGCCTTCATTTAAAGACATGTTTGACTGATTCTTCCAAAGCCTGAACCCTTGCACTTTTCTTTCCAGGTGCTCAATATACTGTCAAGTGATAGCTATTCCTTGTTTGAAGCTGCCTTGTTTTGTCCCTTGCCAGCCACCATCCCGATCCTAATGGTCTTTTGTGCGACATACGCCTTTTTCATTCTGGGGCCCACAGCTCTCATCGGGATATCGGTGTATGTCATATTCATCCCCGTCCAGGTAATGGCAGGCTTTTGCGCTTCTAACTGCTTTATATTTGCATTTCACACACTTTCACTGAATCGGGTGGAAGGCTGCATTTCTGGCTCATGAAGCCTGTGCCCCATTTTGTACTCACAGATTTACTTCCTTTGGCACAGGGTAGTTTTTGTTTGTTTGTTTTTTGTTTTGTTTTTATTTAGTGACAAGGCCTCGCTCTGTCACCCAGGCTGGAGTGCAGTGGTGCAATTGTAGCTCACTGCAGCCTCAACCTTCTGGGCTCAAGCAATCTTCCTGTCTCAATCCTGCCAACTAGCTGGGACTACAGGTGCATGCCACTGTACCTGGCTAGTTAAAAAAAAAATAAATTTGTAGAGATAGCATCTCGCTATGTTGTCCAGGCTGGTCTTGAACTCCTGGGCTCAGCCCATCCTCCTGCCTCAGCCTCCTGAGCAGCTGGGATTACAGGTGCAAGCCACTGCACCTGGCCACAGTGAAGGCTTTAAAAAAAATTGAATTTGAATGCTCTGGGAAGTGGAATGCCTCTTCAATTTGTCAAAGCCCCCAGCACTCCCCTTGCGTCCTGGCAATTCATGCCTTTCTATCACCTGCCTGACCCCCGCGTGGTGTCCCTTAGACAGCATGAACAGCCATAACTCAAGGGAATAACTTGGCTGAGACTCTCAAGCCAACTTCCTTTAGAACTTTTCCTGGCACCTACACTCCCATCTCTGGATTTTTAGGCCAGCTGCAACTCAGCAGTTCTCTCTGAAAACAGTGTTTGTACCTTGATTTCAGATGTTTATGGCCAAGCTCAATTCAGCTTTCCGAGGGTCAGCCATTTTGGTGACAGACAAGCGAGTTCAGACAATGAATGAGTTTCTGACCTGCATCAAGCTGATCAAAATGTATGCCTGGGAGAAATCTTTTACCAACACTATCCAAGGTAGGACAAGAGTAGCTGCTTAAAGAACCACTTACCTTGTAGAATATGCTCTTCTAAGGGGTTCTTAAGGTTCCCAGGGCCAGGCATTCCAGAAGGAGGCTGAGGGGACCCTCTGAGCTGCTCTGCAGGTCAAGGGATTTTTCAAAGGATTATGGAGATTTAATAATAGAGCCAGGCATCTGGGTTCTGGTGAACCCAAGGGTGAGTGACATATGGTTTCTCTTTCCTGGGGCATGTGGATCCTGGTCCTGGCGAGTTATCTTTTATAAAAATAATTCACTAAAATATTGTGAGCAGGAAAAAAGCTGTCTCCAGCTATTTCCTTGACTTAGAAGACATCTACACACACATACGCTCACACACATCCAGGGTTACACAGACCTCTTTGCCTGCAGCAGCATCCCTGTGTTTGGATGGTCCACTGACTCAACGCTCCTTGGGCAGATACGAGGAGATGCATATGTTTTACTTTTTTTAAAGCTGATATAGAAACTATTTCGATCAAATATAAATGCAAATCTAATTGCAGGGACATTTACATAATTGCTGACATAGACTCAGGTGGTTCACCAGTTAATGATCTGAACCACTGTTACAATTGACTCTCTGGATGGACAATTACACTTTTGCACCAGCATGGAACCAGGCCAAAGCTGTGTATCTGCACTCTAGGGAGTGGCTGTAGAGCACCTGCTTCTGAGCTGGCCAAAGGAAGTGCGCCAGGTTGGGACCCCAGCAGCACTAGGGGACCCCCTTTGAAGACCCTGAAACACATCCTCACACTCTGAGTTCACGTCAGTGCAATTTAATTTGATTTGATTAAATTTGTTTCCATATGATTTCAATTTAATTTAACTTGTCAATTTAGTTCAATAAATATATATCAAGTTCCTACTGTGTGCAAGGCCATGGGAGCTACACAAATGAAATGGAAAAGGATTCCTGCTTTTACGAGTAAGGGAGGATGAGATAACTTAGCTCAAAAATAGCCACGAGTTTGTTGGCTCTACCTTCAAAGTATATCCGGAAGCCATCTGCTGCTCTCCATTTCACTCCTACCCGGTCCAAGCCAACATCCTCTCCCTCCTGGACTATGACATCTAGGCCCTGCTCCTGCCTTCCCCCTCCCTCCTGCAATCCACTGTGCACTCAGCAGTCAGAGTGACCTTTAAAAAATGTCAATCAGATCCTCCTGTTCCTCCTCTGCTGGAAAATCGTGGCTTCTTATCACACTTAAGATTATTCAAAGTTAGGTCTTTGGAAGGAAATCCAAATTCTTTCATATGGCCTGTTTGGTCGGACATGATCTGAACCTTGGTGACCTCTCTGACATTATCACATTCTACCTTAACCTTAGGAAACTCAGCTCTAGTGGTGTCTGCCTTAGTTTGTTTCTAGAACCACACGCCACACTCGTTCCTTGCACTTGCTGTCTCCTTTGCCTGGAGTGCGCTTCCGCTGGATGTTTACAGTGACTTTGTCTTGACTTTAGGTCTCTTCCCAACATCCGGAGAGGACTTCTGGGCTGCAGTTCCAAGCATCTCCATGCCCTACCTCTCAATCACTTCATCCTGCTCATTTCTTTCAGGTCACACGACACAATTTGTAATTACTTAATTGTTTGTTTCTTTATTGTCTATCTGCCCCACTGGAAGAGGGCCGAGACCCTGCTCACTCCTCTATTCTCCAACTACAAGTGCAGCACCTGGCATATAGTAGACATCAGGTTTAAATGTCTTGAGTGAGTGAACACAGGAATTCACGTTATTCTATGGGGGAAGATGGGGAAAGTGCCACAGGAGAAACAGAGATGCTCCATGGAGGAGCATGCTGGGTTGGGGAGACTGGGAAAGGCTTCCTGGCAGAAGTAGCTTTCAGGTAGGCCAAAGGGATAGGACAGATTGGGACGTACAGAGAACTGGGGAGGAGGAGAGGCCTGGAGGTGGAGATAAGAGGGTGCTCTTGGGGACAAGGGGGTGCTAGGTGTTCTTTAGGGGAAGGGCACCTGGATAGCAGAGCTTGGATCCCAGGAGAAGTGGGCTGCAATTCTGCCCCGATCACTGAAAAGGCAAGTTACTAAACCTGCGAAGACAGTTTTCTCTCCTGTCAAAAAGGCATAAAATAGCAGCCTCTCTCTCATCACGCAGTGGTGAGGATGCTCTAATGAGAAAGTGCCTGTGAAGTGTTGAGCAGAGCACCTGGCATGTAGTGATCACTCCATTAGAACATCTAGGGCTGTCCTGTGCGGATGTGAAAGAGCTTTTGCAGAGGAGGCTGGAATTGGGGTTGAGGACAAGAAACAGCAGGTGAAGGAGGCTTGAATGTAGTTTGTGAGCTCTGCAGTGCCATGGGCATATTCTGGACTTAGGTAAGGGAGAATACTCTTGAGTTTTTGTGTCTATTCTTGGGACACCAGGCAGGTGCCTTCAGGCCAGCACATGTGTTTTGTTTCTCCCCTGCTGTATAGTATTTAAAAACGTTTTTTCAATTAGTTTCCAACATTTTAAAGTAGGGAGATGTCTCCCAAAAATCCAGACCTCTTGGGAGGATTGCTTGAACCCAAATATTTGAGACCAGCCTGGGCAACATAGGGAGATCCCATCTCTGCAAAAAAAGTTTTTAGAAATTATCTGGGTGTGGTGGTCTCAGGTGTTCAGGAGGCTGAGGTGGGAGAATCACTTGAGCCTGGGAGGTCGAGGCTGCAGTGAGCTCTATCATGTCATTGCACTCCAGCCTGGGTGACAAAGCAATACCCTGTCTCAAATATAAATAAATAAATAAAAATCTGGACCTCCGACTTTGAAATGGTGGATGATCTGGTTGTTATTGGACCGAACTGGGGCCTGCTCATCTGGCACAGTAAGGCCAAATATCCACGCTGAGGCTTTGCTACAGGGGAAAGGAGGGCCTTTATTTGCTGTGTGCCAAGCAAGGAGAATCAGGCAGTTCATGGTTAAGACCTGACCTCCCCAGTGGCTTGCAAGCAAGGGTTTTTAAAGGCAGGGGTCAACTTCAGGAAAGCAAAGTTACAGGCAAAATCGTAACTCATACATGGAGATTATATGTTGGTTTGGCCTGAAAGGGTGGGATATCTTAAAGCAGGCAGCTTGTAAGTCATGGGTAGATTCAAAGATTTTCTGATTTGCACCTGGTTAAGGAAGGGAAGCTTTGTCTGAAGATTTGGAGTTAGCAGAAAAGAGTGTTGGATCTGGCCGGTGGGCATGACCTCCTCCAGGCCCCTCAGGAAGAAATTTAGAACAAAAACTGCAGTCAGAGTTCTGTCCTCAGCTCCCCCTTCTCTGAGGTCTGTGTGCCAGTGGATCAATTGGATGGGGGTCCGGGTTTTCTGAAATACAACTCAGGGACATATGTTAAGATATAATCCTTAGTTTCCATAGGGAGCCAAACATTCCTGTGACTCTAACTTCCTTGGCTGTTGTTTCAGGCTATTGTTACCTTCTTGCTTATCAAGTTGCTCATTTACTTCTCAGGGTTAGCCTTGTGCCTAGAATTTCCCTTGAAGGAACTCGAGATTTTCCTTTGTTTCTATACTTGCAGTTGGTGGGGAACAGGCTCCTAGGAGAGGTCCCTGCTGCATTTCATGGTAGCACCAGCCTCCCCTGCACTGAGAAGGGGCTGCCCCTTTGATTCTCCTCTCCATTCCGCTGCACTGTAGAGCCCCGCTCTGGTCTTCCCTCCCCTCTGGCCCTACTCCCTTCATTGATGACACTTGCCTGGCCCTTGTAGGCATCTGAGCTTATGAGTCGTGACACACAGAGTGTCAGGGCTGGAAGGGACTTTGGACACCATCCAGTTATGGCAGCTGACAGGCACTGAGCTGCGAGTACCTGCTGGGTTTATGCCCAGGGCTTTCTGTGGTTCCTTTCATTTAAACTTCACAACAGGTCTCATGAGGACTCATCTGGAAGAGGACCAAGTAGAGCTAATACATTTCATAATGCTAGCATTCAACATGCAATATGAGACCACCTTGGACTGTGTTCTATTTTGCAGATATAAGAAGGAGGGAAAGAAAATTACTGGAAAAAGCTGGATTTGTCCAAAGTGGAAACTCTGCCCTGGCCCCCATTGTGTCCACCATAGCCATCGTGCTGACATTCTCCTGCCACATCCTCCTGAGACGCAAACTCACTGCACCCGTGGTAAGAGCTGGCTTCAGATTGGGCCTTTTTTGCACCCTGACCCCGGGAAGTCCCAGATGGGAAGCCCTGCCTACCGTTGCTCAATACTGGCATTGGGAGCATCCAATCACAGCAGGCCACAGGATGCAACTTCAACTCCAACTTTTTTTTTTTCCTGAGACAGGTTCTTACTCTGTGGCCCAGGCTGGAGTGCAGTGGCATGATGTCGACTCACTGCAATCTCTGCCCCCTGGGTTCAAGCAATTCTCCTGCCACAGCCTCCTGAGTAGCTGGGATTACAGGTGCCTGCCACCACCACACCTGGCTAATTTTTGTATTTTTAGTAGAGACGGAGTTTCACCATGTTGACCAGGCTGATCTTGAACTCCCAACCTCGGGTTGCCCACCTGCCTTGGCCTCCTAAAATGCTGGGATTACAGCGTGAGTCACAGCGCCGGGCCAACTCCAACTTTTAGAAACAAGTGCTTTGGCTGACAAGGGGCCCAGGAGAGCCTGGCAGCGATTCTTATCATGTCCATGGCTGGGCAGGGGTCATAGTTAATGTGGGAATACAATTTTAAGTGTGGGGAAAAAGGTGGAAACCAAACAAGCAGTTGGCTGTTTTATTTATTTACACTACAAGAAGGAGAGTTTGAGAAAATTTTCTTGGAGGGAGGAGGTGTAGGTATTGGGAGAGGCAGTGGTGTTGGGGTCAGAGTCTGGGCTTAGGAGCCCGGTCGGCCTCGTTTAAATCCAGACTCTGCTACTTAGTAGCTATGACTTATAGTAAATCATTGAGCCTCTCTGGTCTCTGTTTTGTTATCTGTAAATGGGACGATAATAACCACAATCAGTGCTGTTGTGAGGACTGAATCAGTTATTTCGTGTAAAGCATGTAGAACCATCTCAGGCTCTTAGGTCCTATACAAGTGTTAGCTATTCTTCTTAACCTTGATTCTCATCTGGGCCAGGCAAATGAGGATTGAAAGCCTTAGAGGGAGAGCTGGGATGAATGTGAGATGTTCAAGTTCTTTACAAGGGGCCTGGACATCCAAAGATAAAGAAATGCTGAGCTATAGGGAAACTGATTCCTGGCTTAAATAAAGAAAAAACTAGCTAAGTATTAAACTAAGTAGTTGGAGGAAAGTCAACAAAGACAAGAAAAAAATGAGAGAGAGAGAGAGAGAAGGAAATAAGTAAGTTCGTAGAGGAAGAATTGCACCTAAAATCAGGGACCTCACGGGGGAGGAAAGAGGTGACGTTTGCAAAGCCAGAAAGTGCTTGCTGAGCCATCCTTTGTGGGACCCATGACTGCCCTGTGTTTAATCCCATTATTGCCCTGTGTTTCTTGGTGAGTTGCTTTTATTTTCTCTGGTTCTTCAGCAGGCAATCACTCATGCACAGTTTACTTTGACACACTTTCGGGCCTTCAGCCCAGCTGTGAGCCCAAAGCCAGATTGAATGGCAAGGATACACCAGGGCTGCTCAATTATTGTGACTTTCTCTGATCCCAGACCAAAAGGAATACTATTTTTTTTTCTCCAGGAGCATATCAAGCAAATCAAATTGAGTGCACGTAGTTCATATTTTCTAACATGATAGTTTAGAGGGAATCTATACCAAAACCAAATTTGCAAAGCTCTGGGTCTTTTGGATTCAGAACTGATTGCAGTCACTTCCTGTGCTAAGGTCATGTCAGGAGTCCGTCACCTCCAGGGTATTCAGTCACATCAGGCCACTCATGTGCTCTGTCAGCCAGGCCTGGGCTTCCTGAGCCAAGGTGGAGCTTTGGGACCTGGAAGAACTGAATTCCCTTTGAGGATGTATTTAGGACCAGATGTGATAGAAGCATCTTTCATTATCCTCTTAATGAAGGGACTAGGATTAGTTGAAGCCTGGGGCCCTGTCCGTGGGGCCCATTTAACAGCAGGCAGGATCACTCAGGATTAGATGAAGAAAGTTGTATTATCAATTTCTTAAATGGGTAGCTAGGGAGAGGCTGCTAATTACAATTCGGACAGATGAGAAGATGAAATTGGAGAGATGAAATCATGCACCCCTGGGGCACCAACCAAAGGGAGAAGGCTTGTTTTCATTGAGGCTATAGAATATCAACCACCCACTATGCAGGGCACAGCAAGGAAGGCCGCGTGAACAGAGGTGATTTTTTTGTGGGGGAGGATGGGGGGAACCAGAGTTGACCAAAGGCTCTCAAATCTGGCCTCGTGTGGTGCATGGGGAGGCAGGGCATGGAGGCCAGGTCCTGGGAACAGGAGAGTGAGGTCACCCTCCAGCTTCCCCCAGGTGCAAGCAGGTCTCTCTGGGGAGCTTCCAGCCCCAACCCTGAGGCTGTGGTGTGGTGTGGTGTGTAGCGTGAAGATAATGCTTTAGCTCCAAAGGGTCAGATGCCTCTGAAGAACTGAGAGCAGGGGGTGCTTTAGGACAGTCTGCATGGGCTTTGAGTGAATAGTCTAGATTCAAATGAGGATGCAGTGTGGATGGAGATTGCCAAATGTATTCTGTTAGTGGCCTGCCTCAGACCTCTTCCCTTCTGAATCAACAGAGACAAGGGGATATACTTGCCATCGTTTTGGTGAAAATCCCAAAGCAAAATAGATTAAGATGCTGCTGTCCCCAACTGGCCAACCCATGGTTTCTGAGCCACGAAGTGAAAAGATTGTTCCTCTGTGCATTCCAACGATGCCGCCATTTCTCATCTGAGCAAGTTTAATCCCCATGTGTATAACACTTTAGAGCCAAGGTGACTTCTCCTTCTAAACCCTCATACTTCTCTTTTGTTCTTCAGGCATTTAGTGTGATTGCCATGTTTAATGTAATGAAGTTTTCCATTGCAATCTTGCCCTTCTCCATCAAAGCAATGGCTGAAGCGAATGTCTCTCTAAGGAGAATGAAGGTATAACTAACCCTGGGTGAGTAGGGAAGAGAGATCTCATTTTGGGGTGGGAAAATGCTCAGATATGTGGAGTCTATACCAACCTGCTGGAGAGCTGGGTCACTTGTTGAGTTGACACTGGGAGGAGGGCATCCATTCAGAGTTAGATGAATAAATGTGTATGAAGGACAGAGCAGGCAGAGTTTTATAGGTTGTCTGTAGGAATGATGAGATAGAGTCTCTGTACATGAAGAAGATGTTCCTGACCCTATTTTCCTTAAACAATCTATCCATCCTAAGTGTTCCACAAGTGAGGTTGGTTTTGTACTGAGTCATCCCCACTTTACCTAGTTTGTCCTTTGATGGGCATGGTGATGGAAGTGATGAAGAGGATGTTGGGATCCCTACATTTATGCACTCATTTAGTCCCTTTATTCCTTCATTTATTCACTCATCAAAGATTTACTTTGTGCCTCCTATGTATAAGACATGGGAAATGCAAATATAAGGAATAGAGAGGCTTTGTCGTCAAAAGCCTCTGTTCCAGTGTGGGACCAGGCACTCTAAGAATCTCTATACATGATAAGGATATAAGCGACATTTGAGAAGGGCAAATAAAGTGGTTTGAAAGTTCAACTGAGGAGAGGAAAGGGAAGAAGGGCATTTTTATCAACACAGAAGCTTGTTCAAACGTCTATGAATTGATTGAATGATCTTACTCACCCAAGTCGGAAATCCGGAAGTCATTGTAAGCATCCTGGTTCATGCACTCCTCTTTTCCCTTACCATACACATCCAACCAGTCAAGAACCCTGTTAAGTCAACCCCTGATTATGGTATTCTCTCCATTTTAAGGGGCGCCATTGTAAGATTGGATTGGAAGGTACACTGTTGAGTTATTACTCTTTGAACAAAACATAAGAACACCATCACATTAATTGCATGTATTATGATATCAGAAAAAAAATAAAGGTGCTTCTTAGACTAGATAAAGGGTGGCATTTCTTGACTCCTCAGCCTTCACTCTGTCCCTACTGCCACTGCCTTCAATCGAGGCCTCCCTCATCTCTCATCTGATTAGTGCAGTGATTTATGACCTAACCCTTCTTTTTCTAACATTCTTCTCAAGTCCATATAGCTCTCAACCCAAAGAGAGCTGTTAAAATACTGGTCTGATTACCAATACTCATTCGCACCTGCTCAAAATCCTTGAACCCTTGTCCCCTCCAGGCTCTCCATCTGTGCGTTCTCAGTTTTGTGTCCCCCTCCCTTCCCAATTTGAACTCTGTGCCTCAGTAATCCTGAATTGCTTGTTTCATGCCGCCACCCCAACAAAACCATGCCTTTGCATGCTCCTTGCCTTTGCCCATGCTGGGCCCTCAGGTAGAATGCTGTCATCCTCTTTCCCTTTCTCATCTCTGCCTATACAACACCTGTACAGACCCAGCTCAAGCACCAAGTGCGTGGACCTTGAGAATGAGAAGCCAAGTGTCCCTTCTCTGGCAGTCGCAGTGCTTTGTCCTCATCACATTTTACAGAAACAATCCGTGCATGCTCTCATCTCCCTCCAGACTGTAATCTCTTCAAGGACAGGAACTGTGCCTTATTTATATTTGCATTTCTGCTTTTACCCCAAAGTCGGGCACATGGTTAGGGCTTAGCAAATGCTTTGTCGAACTGGACTGAGTGGCCTAGGAAGAGGACACAGCAGAGATTGAGCATATGACCTTGGTTTCATAAGCATTTAGTGCCAAGCAGTGAAGTCCACTGCCCAAAGACTGGTAAGACTGACTGTCTTGGGCACAAGGGTGAAATGTGGTTGGGATCAGTATTCTCCAATGTGGGTGACCCACATAGGCCTTGTGGTTAAAGAGGCAACTGTCCCAGATAGCATGAGCTAGTGGACTATTTCTGCTGCAGCTTCTCCTGGGGGAATAATTTCAGAACCTCTTTCCTGGATGTGCTGGGTTAGAATGGCCAAAACTGTGATTTGGGGTCATTAGGAGATATATTGGGATGATTCTTGCAAATGGATGACATCTGCTCAGTTAATTTTGTCTCTTTAATCTTAGAAAATTCTCATAGATAAAAGCCCCCCATCTTACATCACCCAACCAGAAGACCCAGATACTGTCTTGCTTTTAGCAAATGCCACCTTGACATGGGAGCATGAAGCCAGCAGGAAAAGTGACCCAAAGAAAGTGCAGAACCAGAAAAGGCATTTATTCAAGAAACAGAGGTCAGAGGCATACAGTGAGTGGAGTCCACCAGCCAAGGGAGCCACTGGCCCAGAGGAGCAAAGTGGCAGCCTCAAATCGGTTCTGCACAGCATAAGCTTTGTGGTGAGAAAGGTAGGTGTGTGTTGCACAGGTGTGGCCTACAGCCCTCCTCCTTGCATTGCATAGCTACAGCCTTCTCCAGGTCTGATACAGTTCAGTTAGAGCTGAAGGTGGTGATGGGATGTCTCTAACCAGAGTCCCTGTATTTTTCCCCCAATTTTAAAACTACGTACATGAACATTGGAGGCCCTGTCTCCAAGTGTGGAGAAGACGGTGGTTATATTCATTCTGATCTGTAGTACTTGCCTTAGAGTCAGTTGCAATTTTGAATGAACAGTCCACTCCAGGTGGTTAGGCTTGAACTGACTAGCTTTCATAAATCCTTTTAGATTTGTTCTCTTTTTGTGTGTGTGAGACAGGGTCTTACTGTTTTGCCCAGGCTGGAGTGCAGTGGTGAAATCAAAGCTCAGTGCAGCCTCAAACTCCTGGGCTCAAGCGATCCTCCTGCCTCAGCCTCCCAAGTAGCTGGGACTACAAGCATGCATCACCACGCCTGGATAATTTAAAAATTTTTTTTATTTACCAGGAGAAAGAGGGATAATTTTTAAATTAATTTTTTTTTTTTTTTGATAGAGATGGAGTTTTGCTATATTTCCCAGGCCGGGCTCGAACTCCTGGCCTCAAGTGATTCTCTGTCTTGGCCTCCTGGGTCAAGTGCTGGGATTACAGGCATGAACCACTGCTCCTGCCCTAGATATGTTCTTAATTTCACATTGGAATATTACGATAGATGATAATGACTGATAATTTTGAACACTGCTGTTTACCAGGTACATAATAAACTCAACCACCCCAATAACTAGGCATCATAACTGCCCCCACTTGATGGTTGAGGAGCCTGAGGAACAAGAGGGTTAAATAGCTTGCCCAAGGTCACATAGCTAGCAAGTGGCAGGGGAGGGTTTCATACCCAGGGCACCTGGCCTCAGAGTCTGGGCTCTTAACCACCAGGAAATACTCCTCTTGTAAAAAGCAAACTGAGAACAAGCAACCCAGCTAAGGGCTAAGCCAGCCAAGCCAGCCAGAGTCTGTTTGTTGTTCTCTCCCCTCAAGATTGGGGGATGGAGATTTCAGGCAACGCTGTGGATTTAGGGAATGTTTGGCCTCCTCCTGCATCTCCTGCATGCATCTCTTTCTTGCTCTGGGAACTCAGCAGCACACTCCCAGGGTGACAGTGTTGATTTTGCTGCAGAGGCCTCAACATTAATCTTGTGCCTAGTATTTTAATCTCTCATCCTGTTGACTCACTCTTTCCCTGTGCCAGAGGTTCTCATTTATTATGCAATGTCAACCTCAATAGCTGGTGTGAGAATGGTACCTCTTGTAGCTAACAAGGCTATCTGCCACGGATTCATCGGAAACGATATTTGGTTGGCTGAGTGCAACTGAGCTCAGATTTCAGCGAAGTCCCACTGAGTGCCACCTATTTGCCTTCTCGCCACTCTCCCCGTGGAGCACCTGACTTCCCCCACCCTGCCTTCCCATTTGCCTCTAAGAGGCCTCCGTGAACTTTCCGTGTTCTAAGGACGCTGCTTTCTGGCCACGCAATGGCTTTGCTAATGTGCTATTCCATATGTCAGTGACTCTGGAATTCCTGCCTCAAGATGCGGTCAGTGTTTTGTGGAATAAATTGAAGATACAGTGGGGGCAATGCAGTGTTGCCTCTGGAGCCTGGGGGACCGCAGTTCCAGGCACAGCCACTTCTTAGCTGCTTGACTTTGGACATCTTGCTGAAGCTCCCTGAGCCTCTGTTTCTTTACCTGCACCATGCATTTCATAGAAGTACCCATTTCACAAGGTGGCAGGGGGAACTCAGATACCACAGAAAAACGCTAAGCCCATAGTAAGTCTCAGCTGATGTTAAGTATGATTGTTGCCTTTTTCTTTAACAATTATGCCCAGCTTAAGTGCTGCCTTCAACTGTTCTACATTGAGGACATCCAGGTTTTTCCAAGTTTAGCTCCTCCTCAATTCCATCAGACTGGATCCTCCATGGGGTCAGGGTTTTTTGTTCACAGTTATGTGCTTATCCCCAAGCCCAGCCCCTGGCTTGAAGGTGGCCAGCAATGTTTGTTGGGAGAATCATCAGAGGATACAGGCCTCATGGATTTTCTGCTAAAGACAAGGATGAATCTAGAAGGCTTCTTATTTGGCCCCAAGAAGTGGACAGGACTCAGAGGGCAACCAAATACCTGGTGAGGCTGCATCACATCTGCGGTCTCTTTAATGCCCCAGTTCCTTGAAGTCCTTTTAGGAAAACTAAATAGATCCAGCTTCATTTCATGACGCAGGAATTCCAGAGTCATCAGCATATGGAATAGCACATTAGCAAAGCCACTGCGTGGCCAGGAAGTCCTTAGAACACAGGAAGTTCATGGAGGCCTCTTGGAGGCAAATGGGAAGGCAGGGTGGGGGAAGTTAGGTGCTTCATGGGGAGAGTGGCGAGAAGGCAAAGTAGGTGGCACTCAGTGGGACTTAACTGAAATCTGAGCTCAATTGCACTCAGCCAACCAGATTTATATCCATGTGGGCTCTGCAAGGGCAGGGAGGCATCTGTGTGGATCACTATTTTATCCCAAGGTCCCTGGGATTCAACAAAGACCTTGTGTAAGGAGTTATTGATGACAGGCAGCAACTCTCATGTGCTGAGAGTGGCAGACGGGGGATGTGCCTTTCTGGTCTAGCTTGGGGTGGGAAAAAAGCCATATTTGGCCCCATGTTGGGCATGTTTGCCCTAAGGGGATTGCAGGGAGCAGGCCTACATGAGAATGTTCTCGGATGCTGCAAGTGCAGTATTGCAATATCTGCTTGAACACAAGAGTGGGCATGCTTCCACATCAGTCTCCACGTGGGCTGTTTGCCTGCAGTGATTCTCCCCAGATACCCTATGGCACCCTTCCTTACCTCCTTCAGGTCTTACCCAACTGTCACCTGTGGCAGATGCTGTCCCTGCCCATGTGCCCTGGACCTCTAAGTGTTTCCTGGCCATCTTCCAACTGCCTTATCCACATCTGTGCCCAAGGGCTCTGCACACCTCTATAAAGACCTTCACAGAGTAGAGAGCAGCCCTCAAACAATGACTGCTGGGGCATCAATACCCCACCTCCTCTGCCATTGGGTGGGACAAAGCTATAGTCAGTTCCCCAGAGTTTCCTCCAGTTTCCCTGCAGGGTTGAGTTCCGTTTGCCTTCTGTGTAGGATATTCTGTTAGGGAGCTGACCCAATAGGCTGCCCTTGATGGGCCACCTTCCCTTTCCTGTATCACTTCTCCTCTTCCCTACTGGAATTTCCTGCACCTTCCAAATGACAGTGTGACTTTCATTCAAATCCTTGATTCAAGATGTGTTTCTGGGAAAACTCAAGCTAAGACATCTACCTTTCCAGTAAGGCTTTCCTTGTATCCCCGAGCCTCCAGCCCACTCCCTGTCTCTTTCCTGCTTTATTTTTCTCCATGGCAAGCAAATATGTGCCTGCCCCACATTTAATTTGTCTTGCTTCCTGTCCATCTCCCCCTGACTACAAGGTAAGTTTCATGAGGGCAGACGCAGGCCATTGCCTGTTGTGTTCATTGCTGTTCTTGCTGGTGGTTGGAACAGTGCTTGGCACATAGCAGGCTCTAATAATGATTTGTTGGTTGAATTAATAAATCTAGAGCTGTAGAATGTTAGAATAGTGTAACTTCTCAGTAGTTCCAGATTGAGTTGTTATGGTGGAGGATTCCATTAAAAAAAGATTTTTGAAAAGCCCCTAGATCTTCATACTTCAAAAGGTACCCTAGTCCCCCTGGGTTGTACAGCCTTTTGCATCCCATTAGATTTGCTTTTCTGGAGTCTGAGCACAGAGTAGCCTTCATGTTCAAGGCCTGTGGCTCCCAGACCAGCACAAGGCTGTTTCACACCAGTGATCTTACATGATTTCTAGAAGCCCTCTGGGTGCTTGGTTATGCCACAAAAGGGAAAGCAGTTAATTAAGACTTACATTCCTGCATCCTCCTCCCAGGCTGTGTATATGCGGGGCTGGGGTGGTGTGGCTGCAGCTGCCATGCCCCAAGCCAGCAGTGACCCACTGTTCTCCGCCTGGCCTGACCAGCATAGTTTGAGAGCAGCACCTTTGGGCCAGACCCTCTAAGAAGTGGGAGAGAGTGACTGTGTCCTATCTCTGTTTCTCTGGCAGGGGAAGATCTTGGGAATATGTGGGAATGTGGGAAGTGGAAAGAGCTCCCTCCTTGCAGCTCTCCTAGGACAGGTAAGCTGTGTGATGAGTGCTGTGAGGATGGAACATTAACATGACAATGAAGTGGCTCCCTTCTGGTCAGGTGTGGTGCCATGAGAACAGTGGACCTAGCAGATGGCCTCGGTTGCACTGGACACTGTGCATGTGGTTCACGATCATTTCTGGGAGGTTAGTGCGCTCAGCAGCTCCAGGCCCCTGGGCCAGATGAGGCTGAGTTTTTCACAAACTCTTAAGTTTGCCATTGAGGAGGTCTATTGAATGGATTGCCTCTTTGCCTAAAGCTCCATCTTGGTCAAAGGAAAGTCGGGTCCTTAAACCCATGGTTTTCTCCATGACTTGGGCTGCCCTGATTTAGAAATGCCAGCGAGGCAGCTTGGTGTGGAAGGACTTTGGAGTCAGGAGCTCACAGTGACTATAGATGTATTTTATGCCTGAACTAAAGCAGCTCGTGCCCCCAGCTTCTCTGCAAACCTTGGGGTAGGAAGAGGGAGGGGACTTGGGTCCTTGTCCCTTCTCTGCTCCTTCTAGTTGGGTGACCCCAGGGAAAATGGCCAAGCCATTTGTAGTTTTTACAAACCTCTATGTCACCATGGTTTCCACGTCGCGTCCCACATGAATAAGCTTTGTGGGAAAAAAAATGCTAAGTCCTCTTTCTCCCCACTCTGCTGTTGCTAAAGGGAAGTTTGTGAAGCTGGGATTGCCTCTTTCAGGAAGAGGTCAGGGTACTTCTGAAGAAGTGGAGATTCCAGAATAGGGTGGTGGTGGGATGTGTCTTATGAGTTTTAATATGAGTGACTTCTTTTGGCCTCAGTTGACTCATCTGTAGAAAGAATGACAACTCCTTCCCTGCCTGCAGGCGGAGGTGGGGGCTGAATCAGATGAGTTCCTGAGGTCACCCACGCTCTTAAGAGTGTGTGCCTCCATGATGAGTCAGCGGGAGCCATAGAGGTGACTCAGCTCAATTCCCCACATAATCATGTGAATACTCTTAATAGCATCCTACTGCATAAGAGATGACCCAACTTCTGCTCGGATAGCTCCAGTGATGGGAAACTCAACATGTCACAGCCAGTTCCCTTTTTGGAGAATTTTGATGTATACTGGAGTGAAATTTGCCTCCTTTTAATTTTTATCCTTCGGAAATTTTGAGATAACATTGCATCTATCTCCCACGCAACAGTGGTGGGATCAGGCCCCTTGCTGTGGTCACTGGGGAGGCAGGGGAGCACTCTGGATAGCCTGGCTTCCCCAGCTGTTTCTGCCACATGCTCACTGCTTAGCCTTGGGCAGGTAACTTAACCTCTCTGAGCCTCATAAAACCTCTTGGTTTCCTTGTCTGTAAAATGGGGCTAAGGAGAGTTGTGGTGAGGATCGAATGAGATTATGTAACCAATAGTTGACTATAGGATAATTTGCAAGGCCAGTCATGGTGATAAACATTGAACATACTCTTAACTCAGTGCACGGAATATACCCTACACATTAAAAATACTATGATTATTATTGTTATCATCATGGTCTCTTCTCCAAATTGAATTCTTTGTCCATTGCACAACTCCTGAGGTGAAATGGCATCACATCCTTTGGCTGCCTTGGTGACTCTCCTCCTCTGCCCCTGGACCCACTGCCACTGCCCCGTGAGCATCAGCCCTGAGCACTGTGGCCTGCCCCACATGTCCCTTCTGTTGATAGCTTTGAACATTGCATCCCCACTGTCTACCGTTGTGTATTGGTTGCCCCCATGAGGGGTCATCTTAAATGAGCGTATGTACTCAGGGTCACAAACTGGAGCCCGTGCATAGTTTTAATTGGATTGCCGAATGCTTTAAAAGTCCAAAGATTTCATGGAAAACTGGATCTTTGACTCCTCTTGACAAATTAGAAAATCCTGCCCCATCAGGCCTGCATCCTTTCATGGCACCAACGATGCAACTGAGTCAAGGCTGCTTCCCGAAGATGGGGTGTGCGAAGGCTAGCACCCACAGCCATGCAGGCGGTGCCCTGCTCCCAGGGCCTGGCTGAGCAGGGTTGGGTCCAGCCAGTGCACCTGGAGGAAGGGGAGCTTCTTGTGAAGAGTCTGTTGAGAGAACACCCTGTTGTAGTTGGGGCCAGGTGCCATGTGCACTGGGAGCAGCCCTGGAGTCCAAGCTCTCCCATTTGCAGCAGAGCTTACCACTGACTCTTTTCAAACATTCCCTGCCTGGCTCTGTGCAGGTGTCTGACTCTGAGATTCTCCATCTGCATGGTTGGGCTTTCTGGTGCATGGACAAGACATCCTGTCGATGCTTTTGCACCTTTGTAACCAATACTTGTGGAATAGGTGGGTGGCAGGGTGCAACGGGCACTCGAGGAAACGTCCTCAAGGCTTGGCTCCTGAAGCTTCTCTGGTTTTGTTGTTCCAGATGCAGCTGCAGAAAGGGGTGGTGGCGGTCAATGGAACTTTGGCCTACGTTTCACAGCAGGCTTGGATCTTTCATGGAAATGTGAGAGAAAACATACTCTTTGGAGAAAAGTATGATCACCAAAGGTAATATTAACTTTTAAAGCAGGAGGCACATTTGTGTTTGGTACACACTCTCCTACAGATGCTGATGCTGTTGGTAATGACTGCTAAGTGGATTCTGAGTTTAATGAATTCCCATTAAACATTCATCAGATCCACACAGGCACTGGTTTTCCTCTTCCTGAGCCAAGCGTTAGGGAGAGGTAACTTCTGCAGACCTGTGACTGCGCACTGGGAAGAGGATAGAATCGGTACTTCATTCCCAGGGCAGAGGAACATATGTTCCGAGGTTCTCTGCAACAGGGCATATGTGGTCTGACTAGAGAAAAATGAATCCAGCAATTTTGCTTTAGGCTGAGTACCCAAAACTGCTTGAAATCATGAGCAAGTATGTAGTGAGTCAGCCCTGACATTATTAATTGACATCAGAGCTATCAGGATATATTATCGCTGTTAGTGTCCTCAGAATGATCTAACTACACAAAAACAAAGCTCAACTTATAATTACTCGATTTACTTTGAGCCATCAACTTTTTAATATTATTTTAGTTTTTAAATGGACATAATTACATCTATCTATGGGGTACACTTTTGTGTTTTGATATATGATGCTGGGGGAGAGGGGAGTGAGGGGAAAGGACAGATGTTGACCAAAGGGTACAAAGTTTCAATTAGACAGAAGAAATAGTCATTAGTGATCTATTGCACAGAATAGTGACAATGATAAATTTTAACGTATTGCATGTTTCAAAAGTACTAAAAGAGTATATTGTAAATGTTTTCAACAGGAAAATTATGAGTATGTATTTGTAATAACTGTAGTATGTAATGAACAGACAGCAATTTGGGGAGAAATATTTTCTCTAAGAACATTTCATAACTCATTAATACCGTGATCACCTTGGACATTTCTATAGTTATTCTCTCCCTACTTCTGAAATGTTCGATTTCTTCTAAATTTTAATTTTAGATTCAGGGGGTGCAGCTTTGTTACAGGGGTATATTGTGTGATGCTGAGGTTTGGGTTTCTACTGAACCTGTTCACTCTCTAGTGGACATAGTACCCAATGGGAAGCTGTTCATCCCTGTGCCCTCTCACCCTCCCTCCTTTTGCAATCCCCCCACCTCTTGTTACCATCTTTATGTCTGTGTATACCCGAGGTTTAGCTCCCACTTATAAATGAGAACATGTGATATTTGGTTTTCTGTTTCTGTGTGAATTTACTTAAGATAATGAAGTCCAGCTGCCTCATGTTGCTACGTGATTTTGTTCTTTTTTATGGCCGCATAGTATTCCATGGTGTGTGTATACCACATTTTCTTTATCCAATTCACCATTGATTGGACCATCATCTTTAAGCTCTGGAAAGTAATGAGTTCCTATGGTTCTTTGCTTAGCTTGGTGTATTGCCATGTACATTCTCTCATTTGAGTCCCATAACCACCCATTTAGGGAGATCATGGCATTATATCCCCATTTTACAGATAAAGAAAAAGGCCCAGAGAGGTGAGTTGACCCTCCCAAGGTATTAAATGCTATTAAATGTCAGAGTTGAGTCTTGGACTTAGACCTTGAGCTCCAGATCAACATCATTTGTCTGGAGCTGGAGCTGCCTGACAGCTGGGTCACTCAGAAACCTTCCCAGGCATCACAATGCTGAATTAAGAGAATTAGAGTTGGTTTTAGGAATCTGGCTGTCAGCTCTGCAGCGGTAGTTTGGCCTCTTTCATCTTACCAACTCTGTCCCTGCTGGCTGGCATGGCCAGCATATATATTCTCATCAAGAGGCTTGTCAATTCACCTCCTCTTCCCTGGCCATGCCGTCCTGTGGCCAGGAGGCTCAGGTGTGGCAGGAAGGTGATCAGTGCAGGAGTCAGTGATCAGTGCAGCCAAATTACTCTGCTCAGCATCTCTTGGCCTGTGCCACCCACCTGGAACACCTTCTCTGTCTGTGGAAGCGGACTGGACAGAGGGTTGCCTTATTCATCAAAATGACGTTCAGAGGACAAATATGTGCCAAATGCCTTCAGCATGCAGGGCACATGGGGACAGAGATGGCTCAGGTGTATCTTTGCCCTTAAGATGCTCAAGCCTGGAAGGGGCTATAAGAAATGCACAGAAATGACAGTGCATCAGGGAGGAATGAGCCAGGTGGCGGGAGACTGTGCTCGGATTGTTCCAAGGCAGCAGAGATCACGAGAGGATGGTGGATCAGGGAAGAGAAGATGGCACTTGAATTGGGCTTTGAAAGATGGATCTAGCATCCTTCATACGTGGCATATTTAGCAGAGATTTTGCTCCTAGGGCAGAAACTGTGGCTCTCAGGGCCATAGGAAGCAGGAGGGTGGGAGGCAATTGAAGGTGGGAGGTGTTGAGGGGAGGAAGATGTGCTGTGCTGTCTGAGTCTTGTAGTCGCAGATTGGCAAATGTAGTAATAGCAATTATGGCCCCCACTGATGGAGAATTTGCCATGTAGCAGACACTGTGCTAATGGCTTCACATGTTTTTCTGCTCCATTCTCACAACAACCCAATGAGAGTTTGTTGTTTGCACAGTTTTATAGAGCAGAGAGGGAGGATCAGGGAGGTACAGTCACTTGTCCAAGGTCGCCCAGCTGGAGTCAAACCCATTCTCTGATTCCAAGGCCCCTCATCATAACTGCTGTGTACGCCAACCCTAAAGTTTGTGTGTGGGCACGATGCTCGGGCCGTGCCCAGGTTCTATTTTGGGGCCTGTGTGCAACCGGAAGGGCAGCTGCTCACGCCTATCTGCTCTCTTTCTTGCCTCTTTATTGGGAAGGTTTGTCTTTCGATGTCTGAGTTGTGAGACCTGCCCATTGTCACTCACTGAAGGAAAGAGGGTCCTGATGATGATAATGCCAATGATATCAATCAGTCAATCTGTCATCCACCAACCAATCAGCCGTTGTGGAGGCAGGCAACCCGCCGAGCAGGACAGAAACCTAAAGGCCCAGTGGTGCTGCTCAGCAGCTGCTGGGAGGGAGCACACACCTGAACCAGGCACTACAGGCATCCTGAGCAGGAGTTGGGTCCCCAAGGCGGCTGTGCGGGGGCTCTGTGATGCCTGGGGAAGGTTCTGCTTATGGTGGGGCTGTCTGAGTGAGGCTGAGTTGCAGAGAAAACGTAGGGAGGAGGGTGTGGGCATCTGTCGTAACATGGGGACGACATCCCAGTGAGCACTGATGGTCTTAGGTTCCTCGGTGCCAAAAGTCCCCAAAGGCCTCCCCTGGGGCACAGCGGGGTCATGCCCCTGGGGACCACTGTGGGGCCAACCCCACAGCTTTGCTGCTTTTTGCAGGACAGGGTGCTAGTCCTGGTGACTTGGCTGCTGCAGAGCTGGCTAGGGCCTCAGCTGTCAAACTCCCCAAAGCCTGGGCTGCAGGGCTAGGCAGAGGGTGACGCTGAGGGGGCACAATGGAGAGGCCAAGAGGCCCAAAGAGCAGGAGTCCCACTCTCTCTCCCATTCCACCCCCTCACCTCAGGTGCCATTCCCTTCGGTTCAGTGTCCTGAGTTGTCGCAGGGGAGAAAACTGTTTTCTCCAACCGAGTAGCAGTGAGGGGTGGATGGAGTAGCTTTGTGAAGGGGCTGGGCAAATGTCAAGGTTGTCCACCCAGCCCCCTGCTGTTAGCCTCCTTCACACACACCCTCTCTTCCACCCACGGTCCTGCTTCAGCCTTGCGCCCCCCAGGAGGCGGTCCCCAGTGACTGCAGCCCCCATGGGTGACCCCCTCCTCTGACTCCCACAAGCGTCCAGCAGGTGGCGCCCTCAGTGTTCCTTGCAGTGCTTTCCTGTTCACTGTTGTCTTCTTCCCTGTCTAGCAAGAACCCTGCCAGGGGAGGAGCCATTCCTGAATCAACTCTGCATCAGGTCAGGGGAGGGGCCAGTGGTCAATGGGACGCCACCCTTGGGTCATTGAAGGCAGAGCGACTGGTCAGGGAGCCTTGGACGTAGCACTCGCCACCCCTGGCCTTGTCCCAGCGACACCAGCAGTGCCTGTGGAAACAGCCCAGGGCAGCGGTGCTTGCGGTCTTTCTCACCCAGCTACTTCTGAGCTTTGCACCAACAGGTATCAGCACACAGTCCGCGTCTGTGGCCTGCAGAAGGACCTGAGCAACCTCCCCTATGGAGACCTGACTGAGGTGAGCAGGGCTCGGAGCGCAAGCCCACTGTTGCTGCACACAGTACATTTGCTCAGGTCCAAAGGGCTGAGGCCAGCAAGCCCCGGTTCCACATCCAGATGCCCCAAGAACGTGTGGGCAAAGCTCAGGTTCCACCCGTTCTGAATTCTCCCTCTGGATCTATACTTGCTGGATGTCACAGTGGATGTGACACCAAGCTTACTGGTGTTTGGCACAGTGTAGTCACTTATTGGGGCTACTCCCAATCTGCCTGTCATCTTAGGAAGGGTTTCTGGTGAAAACTGCTTCCTCATCCCGAGGGCCGGCTCTGTCCTCCAAACCAGGGCCCCTTCTTGCCTCACTGGCTCTGCCCAGGCCAGGAGTATGGGGGTCACCTCTAAACATTGCCCCTTGGGGTGCTTGTCCAAAGTGCTAGCTCCATCCTGGGCTGAGCCTGCCACCCCAAGAGACCCAGGGAGTCACCTTGCCATCTCGGGTCCCCACCCTTCTTATGCCCTCTGCACAATGTTCCTCACCTTGCCCAGGAGCCCCAGAGGAGACCAGAAGGCTAAGGCTTTCTGAGGAAAGGCCAGTTTGGGGTGTCTTTCTCTATTGGTGCCCTCAGTCTGCCTCCCCAAGGGAATGGCCGTGAAGCCTTCCTGGCCTGCATCTGAGACCTCCCACACTGCAGCCCTGGTTCACCCTTCCAGGCCGTGCTCCTACCTGCCTGCCAAAGTGTCCACTCACCTCCTAGCCTCTAAGTCTCTGCTCCTGTGGCATCACTACCCTTTGAGTTTCAACCCCAGATCTACCTCCTTAAGGAAGGCTTTCCCAAGTCCCACCACCTGAATAATTTGCTCCAAAGAACTCTGTTGATGCTTCTCAGCAGGCACTTGTGAAATTCTGCTTGCTGCTGCTATTATGTACATAACTAACCTGCCCACCGTGGAGCTCCCCAGGGAGAGGGGACTTCTCTTGTCCAGCTTGTGTGTCCCACCCCGTGCCTAGCTCAATGCCTGGCTGAACACGTGGGGTTCACTTTGGGTTCCATTGGATAGAATCACCTACAGTAAGCAATCATCCTTTCCGTAAATATTTGCTGAGCACCTATTCTGTGCCCAGCGTGGTGCCAGGCCTTAGGGTAGTGATGATGAACTAGGAAGTCAAGGCTTATCTCTCCACAGTGCGTAGAGTTGCCTAGGGATGGGATAGTTGCTCTCCAAGTAAATAAAATAGGGAACTCCCTTTTCCATCTGCACCCAACCACGTTTCCCTCTGGTTCACTGCTGCATTCTCCCCAGCTCTCTGCTCACCCAATTCCCTTTGGTGGTAATAATGACGTAGCCCCTCCCCGTGGGATCTGCATTGGGCTGGGGTCTTGTGAGACGAGCACCCCTCGCTCCTCATGGGAAAGAGCTTTGTCCTAGTTGCCGCTGCCCACCAGGCTTCACCAGGCTTCCTGGAGAGGTAGACAAGTGGAGCACTTCCACTCACCACAGAGTCTCGTGTGACTGGGGGCCCCGTAAGGGGCGGAGGAACTTGGACGAGGTGAGGATCAGTGTGTACATCTTTTCCCTGAGTCCTGAAAAGCTCCAGGAAGCTTCCATTGCCCAAGAACTTCAGGGTGGCCTGACAATAGGCAGTAGCATTGTCGCTGTCCACAGATTGGGGAGCGGGGCCTCAACCTCTCCGGGGGGCAGAGGCAGAGGATCAGCCTGGCCCGCGCCGTCTACTCTGACCGTCAACTCTACCTGCTGGACGACCCCCTGTCGGCCGTGGACGCCCATGTGGGGAAGCACGTCTTTGAGGAGTGCATTAAGAAGACGCTCAGGGGGAAGACAGTCGTCCTGGTGACCCACCAGCTACAGGTGACGGGACATGCAGGATCCAGGAGGTCACGGGATGGGTGTGGCTGGTGTCTGAGGCTCACAGAGCCTCCTATTCTGCCTATATCTGCCTGTCTTCAGCTGGGAATGTGGGGAGGGAGCCAGGGATGCAAGAGACACTCATGATTCCCCAGCCTTCCTGGGTCCCAGGAGGTCCACCTGTTCCACTCTGTGCATGGCCTCAGTGGGGTCAAGACCTTTCCTGCCCCAGAGGGTAGATTCTCTAGAGGCAATTGAGTCCTGCCTCTGGGTGGACTGGGGCACCCTTCCCCCAGTTCTGGGTGCCTGGTAAAAGGATGATTGCTTCCCCCAGTTCTGGGAGCCAGGGAAAGCAATGACGGCCCCACCCTTAATCCAGCAATTCTGGGCAAGCCTGAGGCCAGGGACAGCTTGACTGGGGGTGTCAGGGGGTGGCAGACCTCTTAGATGAGGGGCCCAGATGCCCCAGGCATCACACCCCAGGGGAAAGAGGCTGGAAGCCAGGACTTTGGGACTAAGGCTGAGGCTTTGGGGAAGCTCTCTCTGCTCAGGGCCACTGTCGCAGGCTAAGGAGCATGAATCTCACTGAAGAAAGTGACTGGGCTTGACCTGAGTGAATTTGAGAATTTGGCAGAGTGGGAATAGTCCTCGCTGCATTGGTCCCACATAAGGGGTCCTGAATGCCTGGTGGGAATCCAAGAATCTCCTCCTCCCAGGCCAGGTTTCCCTGCTTCCAGACCATCTCCCTCTCTCCTCTTTGAAGGGAATCCCCAGAGATGTGCGAGAGAAGGGGGCCACTGCATGTGTGTGCACATGTGTGTTCATGCGTGCACGTGTGTGTCTCCTTGCCTGATGAGAGATTCCTCGGGATTGACTTATGTTGAAAGGCTTATTGGGGCAGGAGAGCAAGAGTCCCATCTTCTTTACTCTCCTGCTACCTGCAGAGAACATGTTACATAAGGGCCTGGTCTGGAGACAGGAAGCAGGTCTTTGCAAGGGTAAGTCAAGCTGGGGTGGAGAGGGAGGGGCAAATAAGGTTGCCATGGCTATAGGATGCTGCAGCCAGCATTTTAGAACCCTCCAGTAGTGGCCAGGAGGACCAGCCTAAAGAGGGGGTTCCTCGAAGACCCTATAAAACCAGGCTTTCCCATTGCTGTGATGCTGCCCCTAGCCTGAGCCGACCTTTGCCCAGGGCTAGAGTTCTGGCCCCGGAATAAGCTCCAGGCATCCGAATTTTGCACATGGGGATTGTCTGGATTTCCTCTGCGTGGGCCTGAGCACCTCCAGGAAGCATCACACTGGGCTGGTGTGGACAAGAGCTCCTAGTTCTTCTTCTGGCCTAGTTCTTCTTCTGAGTTAGGATGGAGGACAAGGTTGGATTTCTTCAAGACCCCCATGAGGTGACTGAGAATGGGCTCTGGCCAAGTCCAGGTGCTAAACCTGGCAGCCCCCCCTCTGCACCTGGAATCTCCCTGGAGACACCCTGCAGCAGGGAGGGCTGTCCTCTGAGGGCTCTGGGGATCCGGAGGGGATACGTCATCCCTGACAGGTGTGGGTCACAGCTGTCCCTCCAGGAGTCCTCATGAGGGGAATCACAACGTCGGTCCTGGTTCAGTCTTTGAAACTGACTGAGCCGTAGTATGACCTCAGGCAGGAGCCATCTTCACACCAGGCCCGTCTGCTCAGATTCCACCTTCCCCTGTCATTTTATCTCACTTTTTGCAAGTTGGAAGAGGCAGGTAGCCACCAGGTGGCACAAGATCTTAGTCCCGCTGTCCCTTGTCAGGGAGGATGGAACTCAGAGCCCCCAAACTGGGGCCCGGGGCTTTTCCAGAGCCTATCCCCTCTTCTCTTACTCTCAGGCCCATAGGCAAGCATCTGAGTGGTTGGGATGGTTGATCGCTTTTCTAAGGAAACCAGTGAAAAGAGGCTGGGAGCAGCCACTGAAATCCAACTCAGGGGCAGAGTCGGTGACAGTTTGCAGAACAAAGCTGCTCAAATCGGCCTCATATCTCTGGAGTGAATTGGGGACTTGCTGGCCAGAGGGGGCTCCCTGGGAGCGCCTGGAGCTGGAGTGTGTGCTGTGGCACAGGCAGAAAAGGCCATGGGACTGGAGCAGGCTTATAGTGTCTCCGTTTCCCCATCTGAAATATCAGCCAATAAGACAGAGAGCTGGGCAGTTAGTGGGAGGGAGGCATGAGGGCTGGAACTGTCCAAGCTGTTAGAACTGTTATCATTCAGCCTTTGGGCACCCTCCCAACTCGCCCAATCAAGTATACAATGACCGAACACAGCTACTTCTTTCAGGCTTGTAATCAAGAGCAGCAGAGATTGATTTGACCTTGGATGAACCGTGCAGTATCAGGGAAGACCTCTGGCCCATACTGCAAAGGCTTCTTTTGGTCAAACCATCTTTAGTCTCAGCATCTTGCCTGCCTCTAGGAGCAGACTTCCTTGATCCTGGTGGGGAGAGCTCTGTGTCTCATTCCAAAATGAAAGGAAAACCCTCTTAGCAGAACTCTTTGATCTCACGAATGATATGGAAGTGAAGGGAATTCAAATTAAAAAAACAGAAGTGCTTTGGGCAAAATATGGGATGCCAGCATTAAATGTAGCTGTGTTTTTATCTCCTAGATACAGCTGGCATAAATTCCTCAGGCCAGGGAATGTGGCCTGTTGCCTGGGGACCACACCATGGTCTGCTTCTCCTGGGCTAAATGGGGATGACGAGGGAGGCTTATAATGTTAGAACAGAGAAGAGCCTTCGTGAAGATCATATTTCCCCTCGCTACCAAGTCCTGGCTGTAGTGACTGTCAGTTTAACTTTCCCCAAATCTCCATGATCAGATTTCTATTTATTTATTTATTTATTTATTTATTTATTTGAGACGGAGTCTTGCTCTGTTACCCAGGCTGGAGTGCAGTGGCACCTTGGCTCATTGCAACCTCCGCCTGCCAGGTTCAAGTTATTCTCCTGCCTCAACCTCTTGAGTAGCTGGACTATAGGTGCACACCACCACACCTGGCTAATTTTTGTATTTTTAGTAGAGATTAGGTTTCACCATGTTGGCCAAGTGGGTCTCGAACTCCTGACCTCAGGTGATCCATTGGCCTCAGCCTCCCAAAGTGCCGGGATTACAGGCGTGAGCCATTGCATGCAGCCATGATCAGATTTCTTAGGAAGGCAGCTCATTTAAGGAGCAGTAGCAAAGGAAGATTCAGTGTGCTTCACTGTGACAGCCAAAGGCTGGCGTTTTTTGGACTCATGAGACCTGTGGGTACTAGATGAATGGTTCTCTGCTAGGGGCCAACCTGCCTGCCCCCAGGAGGCACTTGGCAATGTCCGGAGACATCATTGCTGGTCACACCTCTGGGATGGGGTGCTACCGACATCTAGTGGGTAGAGGCCAGGGAGGTTGGTAAATATCCTACAACACACAGGACAGCCCCCTCAAACAAAGAATGATCTGGCACCTAAAGTCAACCGTGCTAACTAAGGTTGGAGAGGAGTTTGGCATGGGCTCTCCTTTCCAGGCAGAAGTTCATTTACCTCTTACACTTACCTCTGCAGTTCTTAGAGTCTTGTGATGAAGTTATTTTATTAGAAGATGGAGAGATTTGTGAAAAGGGAACCCACAAGGAGCTAATGGAGGAGAGAGGGCACTATGCAAAACTGATTCACAACCTGCGAGGATTGCAGTTCAAGGTAACTCACACCTGGGCAGGTGTGGGAGCAACTGGGGAGGAATCCCTCGGGATTTCCTGCCTGGGAGACGTCCTGTCACTTAGCTTTCAGAAGGAATTCCATTTTGTCTCCAGGATCCTGAACACCTTTACAATGCAGCAATGGTGGAAGCCTTCAAGGAGAGCCCCGCTGAGAGGCAGGAAGATGCTGGTATAATCGGTTAGAATCCCATCCCTCTTATTGTCCTTGGCTTGAATGGACACAGATCTCTCTTTATTTCTCACCCTAGTTTTGGCTCCAGGAAATGAGAAAGATGAAGGAAAAGAATCCGAAACAGGCTCAGAATTTGTAGACACAAAAGGTATTTACCACTCATCCCCTTGGTCACATACACTTAAGGATGTATTGGGCATCTACCGTTTGGGATACACACAGTGTAGACACTGTGCATGTCATTTTGCGCAGCCAGAATTGGATGGTCTAGGGTACTGTGTGCCTTGGGGTTCCACTGCCTAAGTCCAAATTTTGGTTCCACCACTTACTAGTTTTGTGACCTTGAGCAAGATACTTGGCCACTCTGAACCTTAGCTTCCTAATCCATAAAATGAGGAAGTAGTACCAACCACAATTTCTGGTAAAGATTAAATGAGAAAATGAACATAAGTGATTCGCATAGTGCCTGACACACAGTGATGCTTAATAGTTATTATGAGCTGGAGAGATCAAAGTAATGCACGGGGATTCATCAGAGGCAAAGGCAGACACAAGAGCTGTTTCCCACTCTTTATGGGGAGCATTGAGAATGGATTATGAAGCAATGAAGAGATTGAGGTGGGATAAGGTTATTCATTCTTTCAACAAATAAAGGTTAAGCATTGACGGTGTGCCCAGTACTAAGCTGGGCTGGGGAGAGCAAGAAGAGATGCCCGTATTCTCAGGATCTTGTGGTCTGGCGGGGACACAGGCAGATGGGTATCTATGGGAAACCAGTAAGAGTAATGGGGAATTTGGGTGAGAGAAACCAACACGTCAAGGAGGGCTTCACAGAGGGGTGGCCTTTGGACTGGTCCTTCAAGGTTGTATAGGATTTTGCTGGGGAAACTGCAGTGAGAAGGTGGGAGAGGGTAGAGGGCTTGAGGTTGAGGGCAAGAGGTGATTCCAGGGAGGTGGGGAGACAAGATGTGGAAGATGAGCCTGGTGGGGGCCAGCTGGTCAGGCCACCTCTTCTCCTCCGTAGACACCCTGCCTTCATTCACTCCACATCCCTAGAGCACCTACTCTGTCCCTTGCCCCATGCTGGACACAGAGAGGGCTGGGGTCAATAGTCCTCAAAGTATACACAGCAAGGTGGCTTTCCAAGTTAGAGTTCTGTTTCTCAATGATGCATAGACGAAAAAACAAAGAAACAAAAAAACTTAGCACATTTCATCAAATTTAAGATGCTATCCATTTTTTAAGGCTACCACCATTTTACCTACCACTTGGAAAGAAAAAAAAAATCTCTGCTAATTAAATGATATGACATACTAGCAAATGGAAGGCACATCCAGATTCCAGAGATGTTACAATGTGGGGGAAAGAAGTGAGCCTTGGAATCGATGAGATCTGGCATCCTCAATGGTGCTTGTGACAAATGCATGCACGTTTGGAAAGGCAACATAGTTTTGCAGTTCCAGAGGCTTCCAGGGCTGAAGTACCCAGATATCTCTTCTGTGATTTTTGGAGAAACCTCCAGGCTGCCCGGGATTTGGGGTCCCGTGGAGAGAGTAATCTCTGTTCCTCACTTCCTCATCACTCACCCCTCTCTGGAAAGGAAAGTGTAATCGTGAAATTTCATGCTGGAGAGAGACGCAGTCCTCAAGGATAAACAACTGGGTTGTCAAGGGCTGTGAAAGGTGGAGGAAGGGAAGACTCGTTAACTGGTTAAAGACAACACTGCCCACCTGCCTGGCATCACAGCGTCTTCTAAGGCACAGCTGAGGCAAACAGAGCATCAGCGGCACTCCTGCCCTGGCCTGCAGGCTGCGAGGTGATGTGACCAGTCCCTTTTGTGCTTCCGGATGCCGTTCATTAGACTCTGCCCACACGCTGAGGCGTCTCCCTCATTTTGCAGTTTCGAGGGAGACACAATAGGCTAAAGTCAGGCTGAACATTTTCAAAGGCGCTCCAGGTTCCCAGGCAGCGAGTGTAATGGTGGCTCTATTCAGCAAGGTGCCTTTGAGGCGTGAAAGCTTTTCCTGTTGGGCCAGGGTGCACAGAATCTGTGCGTGGGGTGCCCCCTCTTCTAACTCTATTTATCTCTGTTTATAAAAGCCAAGTATGGTGTATAATTCTGCTTTGGAGTTGACGTTTTCACGCTTCTCTGTGGAGGAGCGGAAGAGACATGCATTCAGTACTGGCTGCTGGGAGCTGCTTTGTCCAGCATCCCTTTTCCTCCAAAATCTCGTTTCCATGAGAACTTGACAGTCATTTTCCCTTCCCCTTGGGGAATGGAAGAACGTGGGACAGACATTGAGGGAATCAGGTGTCCGTGCAGCAGCCAACCTAGGAGTATACGCTGGTTTTCTTCTGCATGGCGTGAGCTCTGAGAACACAGGACCTGCCTCTTTCTTGCTTACTCTGTAGCAGAGGACAAGGGTGCCCTTACCACTTCAGCACCCCTAGCCCCCTCCCAAATGCCACCTCTGCATTCCTTTGCCTGGGGGCTCTTTCTAGGAGTTGCCAGCTACATGTCAAGCTGGAAGCGCAGGAATTAACACCCCCACCCAGGGAGTGGCCTTCACCCTATGGCCAATAGGAATCGGTATAGAAAAATCCCAGATCCCTCTCGTCACGTGGAAAAGCCCTGAGTGTGTGTCTACACTGGTTCTGAGATTTCTTCACATGGGATGAAGCCCCAGTGGCCCATAGTGGTTGCCAGCTTGGTGACATGCCTTATTCCCTTTAGCTCCCAAATAAACCTCGTATTCATAGGCTCTTCTTGGGTGCCACTTCTAGGAGAAATAGACCAAGACAACCCTTGCATCCCCCGGACTGAGCATATAGTAGGTGCTTAATAAATATTTCTCAAGAGAATAGAAGCTTACTTCACAGGGCTGTACTGAGGACCAGGTAGCACAAAATGAGCAAAAGTGTGTTGGAAATTTGAGAGCATGGGACGAGTGGAAGGATGTGTCACAGCCCCCTTAGCCGTGCTGTGGAGTCCACGGAGGGGCTGTGCCTGGCTTGCTGGGCCCCTGCCCCAGTGGTGAGAGACGTGGCACTTGTGTTTGTCTCCACAGTTCCTGAGCACCAGCTCATCCAGACTGAGTCCCCCCAGGAAGGAACCGTGACCTGGAAAACATATCACACGTACATTAAGGCTTCTGGAGGTTCAGTATAAAACAACGAGTTTCTGGATTTAATTTGCATTTAAAAAAAAATCCTGTCTTAAACTGTTGGGTTCACATTTTATGATTTCTTTAACAATTACTCTCTTTATGGGAGGGCCATTTATCAATGCTTTTATTTTTTCCCCTCCTAAAAACTAACATGTGATAATACAGCCTTTTAAATGGAATCATTCTTCATCTCCACTAAAGCTGCCAGACTCTCTTTTATTGGAGTAGAGTGAGCAGCAGCATGACCCGTACCCTTGCACTCCAGTTGCTCTGTACAACAGTGGCCAGTCCATTGCCAGCCTTCCATACAAGGTTTTCCTTGGTTTCTTTTTCTTTCTTTCCTTTTTTTTTTTTTTGAAGTGGAGTCTCGCTTTGTCATCCAGGCTGGAGTGCAATGGTGCAATCTTGGCTGACTGCAACCTCCAACCTCCGCCTCCCAGGTTCAAGCAATTCTCCTGCCTCAGCCTCCCAAGTAGCTGGGATTACAGGTGCCCGCCACCATGCCTGGCTAATTTTTGTATTTTTAGTAGAGACAAGGTTTCACCATGTTGGCCAGGCTAGTCTCGAACTCCTGACCTCAGGTGATCCACCTGCCTCAGCTTCCCAAAGTGCTGGGATACAGACGTGAGCCACCATGCCCGGCCTTGGCTTGTTTTTAAAGAATACTGAGTCACTGTTATTGAAGTGCACATTGGTGGTTTTTCCAATATGTTCACTGTTTGGACCCATTTTCCAACCAGGTAGAACAGATGTCCCCATGGCTCAGGGCCCCAACACTCAGATATGCCACATCAGTCTAGCAGGTGGTTTCCAGGTGTGCGGATCCTTTTCCTGCAGGTTTTGAATTTCCCATCAGGGTTGGGACCTGAGGAAGGTCAGCCCCTGCCACATGCTCACGTCTGCAGCCCCTTGGGCGTCTCCCCTCCTCTTGCAGGGTACCTCCTTTCTCTCTTCACTGTGTTCCTCTTCCTCCTGATGATTGGCAGCTCTGCCTTCAGCAACTGGTGGCTGGGTCTCTGGTTGGACAAGGGCTCACGGGTGAGTTTCCCTTTGGCATTGGAAGATACCGAGTCTGTGTCTTGGAGTAAGACACTGCTGCCAGAGCATCTGACTGTCCCTGCCACCATGCCATGAGCCCACATGCATCCCCCTGCCCTTTTCAAGAAGTGGAGGTCAGATGCTTACACCACAGGACCCAAGCCCCTGGAATCCCCTTTGGTTTTTCAAGACAAGCAGGGCATAGACACCACTTTCAGATTTTAAAGGGTTGACTAAAGAAGACGTGTGCCCCAGCTTGTCTGGAATCAGGCATGTACAAGATTGGGTCAGTTTCACAGTCTCTCTTGTAAGTTTCCCCCAGGAAAGCCTAACACGGATTTGTGTCTTCCTAAAGAGAAATTGGCATCTTGTTACGGACACTGCCCAGTGCCAGAAGGTCCCACATGTCTCTGCTCCCCAAAGTCGTCTCTGCATGAACAGGACGGGCAAGCATCAGATTCAGGCTCTGCAAATGCCATGGAGCCATGGGGGACCCTTCTCTGCAGGGCCCTTCCTGGGAAGAACTGATGTGTTGACTCTCTCTCGAGCTTGCTGGGAGCTCTCCCAGCTTTTGGTCAATGGTCTCAAAGCTTTCCTGGAGCCCTGGGGAGTGCTGTGGGGTCACTGGCCCATCCTCCAAGATTACATTTGGTACAGGTCTGTTGCTATGACAACCAAAGGGAGGTGGCACTGGGGAGACAGGGGCAGGGGAGAGGCTGCCGGGCACAGCTTTCCAAAGCTAGTCCCAAGGGGAGAGGCTGATGGGTGGCCTGCTCTGTGCAGAAATAGAGAGCCATCTCCGGAATAGACAGATTCTCCCAGATGCCCTCTCACTCACGAAGAGCTGTGTCCTTGGAGGGCCCGAGGTTTAGGATCAGGGTGTAGCCTTCTCACAGGCTTGGTGCTTCCCCAGGAGTCCCACTGCCGTTGGCTGATTAAGCATGCAGCCATGGTGGCTGAACCATGTGTTTGCCCCTGGTGCCTCGGACACTGTGCGTTTGCCCCTGCCCCTACCCTCCCACACATGCAGCCATGGTGGTTGAACCATGTGTTTGGCCCTTGTGCCTTGGCACAATCAAAGGCATAGGAGTGTCTCCTCTTCAGGCTGGGCCGTCTATCCCTCAACTCCCCAGAGATACTTTTGCTTTCAACGATGTTCATCCATCAGCCACCTCTGGTTTACATTTCCACTGTGACTGTAATCAGCAAAATGGCATTTAGAAGAAAGATACTTGTTTGCTCCCCAAGGGCAGTCTTGACTTTTAGCACACAGCCCAGAGAAAAATGAAACTGCCAATTTCTCAGGGCGAGGAGATGCCGTCTCCCCATAAGTGCTGGCAAAATTGTGTGTTTTCGCTGGGCAGGACAGAGCCACAGATTCTTTGAATCCTCTGAGAGCCACTTGTATTCACTGGGCACCCTCCTCCCCACCAAAGATCCCAGGGCAGTACCCTAGCACCCTCTCAGTTACCCCTTGGGAAAAAGAAAGGGAAGGGACTGTGGAGCTGGCCCGTCATACAGAGAAGCCCCTGAGTCACCCCGAAGGCCTGGTGGCTGCTGCCACACAGCTCAGCATGCTGGAGGTCAGTTCCTGATCCTCTGCCTGAGGGTTACTCCTCCAGCCTTGTAGAATTCTGATTCCCCATTTGCCTCTCTGATCTTCCCAGCCCAGCATTGCTTCTGGTGTCCCGAGGTGCTGTGAGCTTCGGGGATGGCTGCCCGGTGCCCACCTCGTTTCTCTGCTTTGTTTTTCCCACTGACTGTGCTGAGCTCACAGTCAGGTGCCCCTTGGGGTCATGAATGCCAGCAGGAGGAACCCTGCAAAGCTCAGAGGCCCCAGAAGGGAACAGATTAGATTGTACCCACCTGATTCATTCAAAACACTCATGTCCTTGTTCTTAGTTTCTTCTCTCTGGAAAGATTATCCAGAAAATTCCTGTTCTCCTGGCAGGAATTTATCAATTCTTGGTGCTTCTCTTGTTTTTCTCTGAAGATGACCTGTGGGCCCCAGGGCAACAGGACCACGTGTGAGGTCGGCGCGGTGCTGGCAGACATCGGTCAACATGTGTACCAGTGGGTGTACGCTGCAAGCATGGTGTCCGTGCTGGTGTTTGGTGTCACCAAAGGCTTCGTCTTCACCAAGACCACACTGATGGCATCCTCCTGTCTGCATGACATGGTGTTTAATAAGGTATGGCCACAAGCATTGCAGGTGTACCCAGTTATTCAGTCAACAAGGTATATGGAGCACCTGCTGTGTGCCAGGCATGGTGCTGGGCTCTGGGGACAGCCAGAGCCCTCATAGAGCTTGCAGTCTAGTCTGGGAAGAGTCTCCCAAATAGCTGATTACCAACTAAAGGTAGATTCCAGGGAGCTGTGGGGGTGGATCATCAGCCCTGAGGCTGGGCCGGGGGGTGGAGGCAGGGGAGGCCACTCCACGGCAGAGAAGTGCAGGCCAAGAAAGCAGCTCCTGCTCCAAAGAGCCCTGAGTGCGACACGGGCCTCAAGAGATCCTTCCAGCCCCCTCCGCATTCCACTGCCATGGTGGGCAGCAGCCAGGGGCTGGGAGGGCCCTGGCTGGAGCATATGGGTGGGGCCCACACTTCGGAGGTAAAGAGACAAAGTGAAACTTGGCTTTTTATTGCCATGGGGCACAAAATTCCTTCCTCTGACAAAGGCATCAGACTCTCCTGTCTCAAGCTGCATCCCAGATTTGGAGGGGAAGCCTGACCTATAGGGGGTCTCTCGGGGCCTCCGCACAGAGACTGAATCCCCACATTCACATTCATTCACGGTGGCCGCAAGAAGGGGGTGCATCCTCCCTTTCCCAAGATCACCTGACACACTGTGCTGTGCCCTGGAAAAAAGGTCAGGCCCTGTGCTCACAATTTCACTCCCAGCAGAGCGGCAGGGTTTACTGAGCACCCACCTCGACTCTGACTCTCTACTGTTCTCCACAGATCTTAAAGAGCCCAATGAGCTTCTTTGACACGACTCCCACTGGCAGGCTAATGAACCGTTTTTCCAAGGATATGGATGAGCTGGATGTGAGGCTGCCGTTTCACGCAGAGAACTTTCTGCAGCAGTTCTTTATGGTGGTATTTATTCTCGTGATCTTGGCTGCTGTGTTTCCTGCTGTCCTTTTAGTCGTGGCCGGCCTTGCTGTAGGCTTCTTCATTCTCTTACGGTAGGCCCATGTGCTATTTACACAAGAAAACAACACACACACACACTGACTGGGTATCACGTGATATTGAACATTGAGTGCTTGCTGTCTTCACTGATGGTCTACCATTGATTTTTTGTACTTAGTAAATGCCAGGTGCTAAGTGCTTTGCATACATCTGGCATTTTAGCCTCAGAGCAACCCTGAGAGGTGGAAGTTATTGAAAGATTAAGGCATTGGTCCCAGGCCAAGAAACTAGTAACCATGATTGCCACCTCTCTGCTGATATGTTCCTAACCATGGGGCTCTACTGTTGCTGCTCTGAGCTTTGAGAAATAACCCCCACCCTAACCATGGGTGTGTTTAGAGAAAGGCCTTAGGCAACTTTGCACGTTGTGGGGGCAGGGGTTCCCACTGCAGCTGTGCACACCCACCCTGGGGGAAAGCAGGAGGACAGCCATGATCCCAGCCTCCTAGGACACCCGCCCTGCTCCCCGCTCTTCCTGGGGTGAGCTGGGGTTCCCAGCAGGTAGCATGGTGGGTATTGGGTGAGGGCAAAGGGTTGCAAATCAGAGAAATTCGCATTAGAGCCCCAGCTCTGCCACAACCAGCTGAAGGACCTTGGAGAAGTCAGAGAGATGCTGCACACCTCAGTTTCCTCTCTCCCTAAAGGTAATCATTGAAATATATGCCTCACCTGTTTCAGAGGGCTTGCGAGGATCAGGGAAACTACACAACCAATGGCTTGTTGGTTAAAAAGGGAATAAGCTGTTAGGCAAGAGTTTCCATAAAAATCAATAACTAAAAATAATCATTTATCATGATCCTAGACCTGCCCAGCCAGTGGGATAGTTATTGCAGATCTGAAAGAGAATTCCCCAAATTATAAAATATTCAGCCCACAAACCCTGGACTTGCTTTCACCTGTGCACAGGGTTGTTGGTTTTCACACTCAGATCCTGGTTTTAGAAATAATTGCTGTGGCCACACTGTGGAGGATGAATGGAGCTACAGAAAAGTCAGGGCAGACTATAGGGCGGGAGTCCCTTGAAATCTACAGTCTGTGTGAGAGAATTAATGAGGACCAGAGGTAGGCAGCAGCAGTGGGAACAGAAGAGAGGTGTGGATTTGAGAGTCATTTCCATGGTAGTGTCATTAGGGTTTCACTTCCCACGTCTGGTGGAATTTTGGGTGTCGGGGGATGGGAGAAGCAATGAATGATTTCAAGGTGAAGAGCAACGTGAAGAGAGATACGGGTGATGCAGGAGGAGAAGCAGTTTGGGTAATAAGAATACGAATTTAGTTTCGGATGCTTCAGTTCTGTTCAACAAGTCTGCTGATGGTGTCCATGGACAGTGGCAAATGCGGGTGTGGGGATGTGCTGGCGCAGGAGAGCTGGACTCTGTGCAGGGGCAGGTGTGGCTCTGGGAGCTGACACCGTGCCCTAGGGAGCTGGGAGAGCTGGACTCTTGCTGCTGTCTTCACTGTTCCCGCGGTGACCCTGAGGAAGTGAAATTGTCACCGGTGGAGGGTGTTCAGGTTCTTGACGTCCTGAGCAAAGAATTGGACAAAACGCACAAAGCAAGGAAAGAAGGAAGCAACAAAAACAAAAATGAAAGTACACTCCCACAGGGTGGGAGCAAGCCGAGCATACGGGCTCAAAGGTCAGTTACAGCATTTTCTGGGGTTTAAATACCCTCTAGAGGTTTCCCATTGGCCACTTGGTGTACGCCCCATGCAAATGAAGTAGTGGCCCATGATCAGTATGATTGGTTGCAGAAAGCGACCAATCAGAGGCTGAAGTGAAGTTACAAAGTTACTCCTATACAAATGAAGACTTGGTCTGCCACCAGCCTGATTGGTTGTGGGAGGGGACTAATCAAAGGTACATCTGTCACCCAGAAAAAGGCAGGGGCAGGTGTGCAAGGGGAGTAGCCTTTGAGCCTTTTGTTATGTAGGCGGGGAAAGCTGGGGTTTTCCTTTCGATTTAGTTCTTGGAAATCAGTGTGAATTGGCCTTAGATTCCCTGCCTCCAGACCCCATTCTGCCTCCAAATGAAATGGTCCGAGTCTCCAAACTCAAGGATTTATTGTGATGACCAAATACAAATAATTTCTGAGAGTCATTTACAGGATAAAAGCAACTCCTGAATGTCATTCTTACAGTGGATTCTTTGGGCTCATGTTCCTTTTTGTCATTCCTGTGTTTGATCATTGCTCCTGTCTGTCCTCCTGTTTATGCAGTTGATTTACTTAGTAAAAGCTCTTTCTCTGCTCTGTACTCACCCTTCTAGCTATAAAGACTGGACAGACCAGAGCTCATCCTGCTTGAATTATCCAAGTGTTTCCAACCAACTCACTTTAGCTCTGCACTAATGAGGCTTCCCTCCTCGCTGCCCTGGGTTTGTTTTAGCTGAGAGTCTGGAGGTTTGATTGTCTTCTCTCTTGGGGGCCAGCCAGCTACTGTACACACCGGAGGTCCCTGGTCTCCTGCTCACCAGGGCTCCTGGAGCTTCCACACAAAGGGGAGCTGCATCCCGTGGGGTTTGGTTTTAAAGTCAACTATAATGATGTTCATTCAAAATTACCTTTGAAAATGCCTTTAGAAGGCCACATGTTGGCAGTTGACACACTGGGTTTTCTTCCAGAGTTAGAACAGATCACTTTTTCTCTGGCTGGGCACTAAAAAGTGGTTGGCTGATACTTAGGGGCTGCGCTGTATGAGAAATTTTGGTTTTTGAAGACTAGAATCATGCCTTGTGGAGCAAGACTTTCCTGATACGAGAAACACTTAGCACCGTGGCCAAACGAGTGCGGCTGACTCATGGTTCTCACGCCCTGCCATTCCCACACCTGGGGCAGGCATCGCTGCAGAATGGCAGGCCCGCTCTTCATCCCCAGTTAGACGGCACCGTCTCTGACTTAAGCACTGTGCTGAGTGCCTAGTTGGCTCTGTATGTGTGAGGGCAAGTCTGATGAGACCTCACTTTGTGGCCCACTTGGCCCCTTTCAATTTTCTTCCAGTATTTTCCACAGAGGAGTCCAGGAGCTCAAGAAGGTGGAGAATGTCAGCCGGTCACCCTGGTTCTCCCACATCACCTCTTCCATGCAGGGCCTGGGCATCATTCATGCCTATGGCAAGAAGGAGAACTGCGTCACCCAGTGAGTCCCACGTGGGGCCCTGCCCCAGGCCCCTATGCTTCATGCCTGACTCCGATGGGGAGGGCACAGGAGGAGGGAAGTCTGGGCTGCTGGGGACTGATTGTAGACAAACAGCTGGAAGAATGAGGAGGGGTCCTTGAAGACACTTGGCCTCACGGCCTCTCTTCCAGCATCTGGGGCCCCAGAAAATGTGAATGAGGGGAGCTTGTTCAATGGCAACCTTGTTTATTCTATTTTTCATTCTAAAAGTAAAAATGTGTTTGATTCAGGAAGATAGAGCAAAAAAGGAAAAAGAAGAAAAAAAATCACTTATAGCACCCCACAAACCCAAACATATTAATTTTTTTCACATATTTCCTTCTAGTTTTTTTCTTTTTTTCTCTTCATGGAGTCTTCTTTTTCTTCTTAAGTATTTATAATCATTTCTTAAATTTATTTAACAATTTAAAATAGCCTGTTTCATGTTATTACATGTTTCTTGTAAAAATAATTTCTAAAGGCCACCTTTCATTTCACTTAGCATTTTCTTCTTTTTAAAATATGGGGACTATGTTAGTAAATCTCTCTGGCATCTTCCAGCTTCACACTTCTATAATATGACATAAAATGTATAAATCAGACTGGGCACGGTGGCTCACGCCTGTAATCCCAGCACTTTGGGAGGCCAAGGCAGGTGGATCATGTGAGGTCAGGAGTTTGAGACCAGCCTGGCCAACATGGCGAAACCCCATCTCTACTAAAAATACAAAAATTAGCTGGGTGTGGTGGTGGACACCTGTCATGTCAGCTACTCGGGAGGCTGAGGCAGGAGAATCACTTAAACCTGGGAGCTGGAGGTTACAGTGAGCCGAGATTGCGCTACTGCACTCCAGCCTGAACGACAGAGTGAGACTCCATCTCAAAAAAAAAAAAAAAAAAAAAAACAAGGTATAAATCACAGTAGGCTCACTGCAGTAACAATAACCCCAAATCTTAGGGAGTTCACGCAATAAATTTTTATTTTTCCTGACGTCACAATTTAGTGACAGTCCATGGGACAACAGTAGGGGATTGTACTCCACACTCAGGCATAGTCTGTTTCCATCTGGGGCTCTTCCATCCCAAGGGCCCTGGGGTATTCTCTCGGATCATCTGTGTTGAGCCAGAAGACAAGGGGACCAGGAAGTAGGACCCAGGGGGAATTTTATAGTCCAACCCTAGTAAAGCATCCCAAGATTTCTGCACATTCATTGGCCAGATTGGAGTCACATGGGCTCACCTAACTGCAAGGGAGACTGGGAAATGTAGTCCAGCTGTATCCAAAGGAGGAAAAGAAAATGGAGTTTGGTGAATCCATAGCAGCCTTTCCCACATAGATTTTCTATCTTTTCCTTCCTTTTTTTTTTTTTTTTTTTGAGACGGAGTCTCGCTCTGTCACCCAGGCTGGAGTGCAGTGGCCGGATCTCAGCTCACTGCAAGCTCCGCCTCCCGGGTTCACGCCATTCTCCTGCCTCAGCCTCCCGAGTAGCTGGGACTACAGGCGCCTGCCACCTCGCCCGGCTAAGTTTTTGTATTTTTAGTAGAGACGGGGTTTCACTGTGTTACCCAGGATGGTCTCGATCTCCTGACCTCGTGATCCGCCCGTCTCGGCCTCCCAAAGTGCTGGGATTACAGGCTTGAGCCACCGCGCCCGGCCCTTTTCCTTCCTTAAAAAGCTAACACACCCTTCAGAGGGAAAGAATTAGATGTAGTTCTAAAGGGTGCGTTGAATGCATTCTAAGTTTGGAATTGCATTAAATTTATTTATTTATTTATTTTTATTTTTATATTTTGAGACAGAGTCTCACTCTGTCACCCAGGCTGGAGTGCAACGGCACGATCTTGGCTCATTGCAACTTCCGTCTCCCAGGTTCAAGCAATTCTCTTGCCTCAGCCTCCCAAGTAGCTGGGGCCCTGCCAATTTTTGTATTTTTAGTAGAGACAGTGTTTCACTATGTTGGCCAGGCTGGTCTTGAGCTCCTGCCCTCAAGTGATCCACCCACATTGGCCTCTGAAAGTGCTGGGATTACAGTGAGCCACTGCAACCGGCCCGGAATTGCATTACATTTAGAATTTCATCGAATTCTCTCTCACGCCCCCTCCATTTTACCACCCAGGATCTCAGAGTACACTTGACATCACATCTTGTCTTTAGTTCAGTCAGCACCTAGTCCTGACCCTAGTTTGACCTGAACATCGTTTTTCAAGAGTGCTGCCTCACACATAGACCCTTCCAAAGTCCTAGCCATGAGGAAAGCCCATGGAGCCGTTCGTCTACTCACCCACAACAAACACACATGCAAGCTTTGTCTTCCCACAGCTTCTCCTCCAAGATTTCTGAGAGAATCCTATAAGGAGCCAAGAATGACTGATGAGGGTTCCCTTCTTTTAATAGTTTCTTTCTAAAGGGCTTGGGTTTCTGACATGTATTGCTTTTGCCACCAGACAAAAATGCTGCAGCTTAAAAAATGTAAAAAGGTTAGAGGTCAAATTCCAATTTGATCCCAGCTAGTGATTTTGTTTCTATGCAATCTAACCAACCACACAGATAAGACCATAGGTGACTTCCAGGTCACAGAGGCTGTCAGTTGAATTTGTATGCTGTATAGCTACATGATAGAAACAGCACTGTGTTTCGAATAATATTTTGATTAAGCTCTGGGGAAAATAAGTTAGAGTTAAAACAGAGAGGAGGAGAGGGTGATGGAGCCCAGGGCGGCTGGTCAGAGGGGCTTCCGGGCAGAACTTTGGGAGGCCTTCCAGGACAGCGTGGAGCAGCAGTGCCTGAGCACATTCACGACTATGCCAGGGGAGGAATTCTACCTCCTTAGGGCTTTAAGCATGGAAAGGATTTCATTTTTTCCCCCAATAGTTTCTACCAGCTGTTCTCATGAAGCCCTTCCCCACTAGATCAGGGAAGCCACAATGGCAGTTGAATCTGATGTCTCTTTTGGTTAATGGTCATCTCAGTGCGGTGAAAATTTCAATCTTGAATGTATTCAAGCCACAGGTCTCTTTCCCCCAGAGGCTTGGTGTGGCAAGGCTATGCTGTGTATATGTGTGTGTGTGTGTGTGTGTGTGTGTGTGTGTGTTTAATTGAGAAGCACCTGCTCTGTGCTTTTAAACACCCTCTTCCTTTTCTCCAGGCCTGGCTCTCTGATGCAGGGGAACTGGGGAGGGGACAGCAGGAAGAACACATCCTTGGGTGACTGGCACCTCTGGGCCATTCTCTCCTTTCTGCTACCCTTTCCTGCTGCCACAGTGCACTGTGCAGATGTGGGACAGCAGCTTGGAGACCCCAGCAGGGCCAGAACCCCAGAAGTTCTGCCGGCATTGCTGGATTGGTAGGAGTCACTGGGTCTTCCTGTGAGTTCTGCCTGGAAGCCCTCACACTGCACTCCTCTGATGCAGAGGCCTCTTTGCTCCATGCCAGGGACCGCAGGCTCCAAGGTCATCTTTCTTCTGCTATCTCAGCCCTAGGAACTGAGGAGCTGATGAGATCCGCCTTCCATACATCTGGGGAATGCGGAACTCCAAGGGTGGGTCTTGCCCCTGTCTCCTGGCTATGTCATCTCCCTGTCACTCCGCTCTGTGCTTCTTCCCCCCTCTCCAAGACCTTTGGCTCCATGGACATGCAGCAGGGATGCAAGGTGTCAGCTTCCTCTCCTTGAAGAGGCTTCCAGCTTTATAAGCAATTGTCTTCAATCTTCTTTCTCTGATCAGGGAGGGAAACCTGACATGCGCCCTCCCTTCCCTCCTCTACGGTCAGAAACATTGACTTCCCTAAAGGTGACCTGCTCCACAACCCACGCCCACCCTTTCTATATATCAAGGGGGCCAATTGTCAGTTCCACAAAGCCTTTGAGGATGGCTGACTCCACGATAGGGATCCTTTGGAGTCAGAATGTGAAGCACTCAGCACCTCTTATTCTCAGCTGTAGGTTCTAGCTGCCAATTCTGGGAAAGACAGAAAGAGCCACTTAGCACCCTACTCTATTGCCACATGAGATTTCCCAAAATATGTGCCAATCAAAGATGTCTAGAGTGGCAGATTTTTAAGAGCATGAATATATGTTCATTTTTGTAAGAGTTTTCCATGTGAGAGTGCATTCCCTCAATTAAAAATTCCCTGGCCTCATTTCTCCAGTCACCCTAACCCTAAGTCTACAGAAGCACAACCTGATCTCCTGCTTTTTCTGATTTTCTTGACTGTAGGTTTAAGATGCTAAACGACGAAAACTCCAGTCACCTCCTCTACTTTAACTGTGCTCTCAGGTGGTTTGCGCTGAGAATGGATGTCCTCATGAACATCCTTACCTTCATTGTGGCCTTGTTGGTGACCCTGAGTTTCTCCTCCATCAGCACTTCATCCAAAGGCCTGTCATTGTCATACATCATCCAGGTAATGCCTGGTGCAAGGTTGGGCTTAGTCTGGAGGCTCCGGCTTATAATACATCAGGGAGGGTGCTTTTGGATGGACAGAACAAAAACCCCAACCTGAATGGGTTTAAATGAGAAAGGGAGCTTAGTGGCTCACATCTTTAAAAAGTAGGATGGTTGCGTGGACTTCAGGCACAGTGGGATTATGGCTCTGAGCTTTGCGCATGCCCTGTGATCACTTTCCTCACAAGTGACCAGCAGCCTCTGGGGTCTACAGCAAAGAAGAAGCAGAAAGAAAGCATTTCCTGCCCTAGCCATGGAGGCAGGAGTCTGGAGCTTTACTCTTATTGGAGGAAAGCATTTCCTGGCCCAGCCATGGAGGCAAAAGCCTGGAGCTTTACTCTTATTGGATTAATTTAGGCATCCCAGAACTAATTAGTGGTTTGATGGGATACAGATCATTAGTTAGGCTAGGGATGGAGTTACACCTATTTCCAACTTTAAGTCACATAGCTACTCCACAGTGGAGGGAGTGAAATGAACGCTGGAGAGACGGTCATAATGTCGATGACAAATAATTACTGATTTATCTTTTTGGTTGCTTTTTTATTTCTTTTGAGTAACAATAATAGGTGAACATATGGCATTGATTGTGATTGGCTTCAGGCCCTGTCTTTTAACTAAATTAATTCATTTCCTCCCCACAACAACCTTCCAATACTGCCGTGATCCCCATTTTGCAGATGAAGGAACTGAGCCCCAGAAAGACTTGGCCTGAGATCATACAGCTGTCATGTGTGAGGGCCAGGGTTTGAATGCAGGCCACCTGGACCTCATGTTTGTTGAATCTTGTTATCTTTGGAAACTTTCTGACATAGTCCTTATTCTTAGTGCTGTGAAACTCTGGAATAATGTATCTGAATGTGGGTCTTTATTCATGTGTTCTGTTTGATGCTGTGAGTTCTTTAAGATTAAAGTCAAATTTCTCATCAGCTTGGAAACATGTCTCCTTTTTCTCCTTCATTTTGACAATGTCCTCTTTTTCTTTGTTTTTGTTTTCTTACTGTATTCATGTCAGTTGAATATTGAATTTCTTGCATCAATTCTCTATGTTTCTTTTTCTTTTCTCTCAAAGTTTCCATGTTCTTGTCTTTTTATCTTGGGAATTTTCATTAGTTTTGCCATTCAGCTATTCCTTTGAATTTTAAATTTGGCAATCCTATATTCATATATTTAATTTCCAGAAGCTCTTATTCTCTGAGTTTTTAAAAGAATCACTTTTTACATGGATGCAGTGTATTTTTGAATCTCTCTGAGGATATTAATTAGTGTATTAGTTAGTTCTCACACTGCTGATAAAGACATACCTGAGACTGGGTCATTTATAAAGAAAAAGAGGTTTAATGGACTCACAGTTCCATGTGGCTGGGGAGGCCTCACAATCATGGTGAAAGGTGAAAGGCACGTCTTACATGGTGGCAGACAAGAGAGAATGAGAGCCAAGCACGAGGGGAAACCCCTCGTGAAATCATCAGCTCTCATGAGACTTATTTACCACCATGAGAACAGTATGGGGGAAACTGCCACCACGATTCAATTATCTCCCAACCCACTGGGTCCCTCCCACAACACGTGGGAATTATGGGAGCTACAGTTCAAGATAATTTGGGTGGGGACAAAGCCAAACCATATCAGTTAGAGTCTTTTTTTCCCCTCCTAAACTCTCCTCCCTTCTTTGACTTGCATCTGTTTCTTCCAGAGGTAGTTTTTCTTTTTGTTTCTCTCATTCTTGCTCTTTCGTGCCGTTGGTTTTGTCCATCTGTCTCCTGACCCATTTGTATTTAACCTCGGGGAACTAGGTTCGGTTTTCAGAGTTTCCTCTGCCTTTGTTTCACCTTGCTAGGTGTCTCCTGATGGGAAATTTTATGACTACAGTAGGTGGGTGGGGGGCTTTTCCATAGGCTGGCTTCACTTCAGGAAAGCAGCCAGGGAGCTGACTTTTAGGTACCCAAATGCAAGATTTAAAGAAGTTTTTATATGGGGACTATTCTGAGAGCCCCATTTATCCCCAGGCAGTTAATTCAATTTCTTTAGAGAAAATCATGTGTATGTGTGTGTATCTGTGTGCACGTGTGCTCCCATGCCTAGGGAAAAAGGGTCCAACTAACTCTGGTTAGGAGAAAGAAGAGGGGAAGAGGAGTGAGTGAACCAGATGGGAGTGGTTGTCTATATAGAGAGCCTATCAGCCAGCCTCTTTGTGGGCCCCCTTCTCATACCTGGAGCCTCTCTGGGTTCTGCTCTTTAAACTCTAGCATGCTCTGCTTCCATTTTATCAAAAGGCTTTCATCCTCTTTCCATCTTGTAGAAATTTGTAGCTCATTCACTGCTGTCTCTCCTCAATCCCCTTACTGTTAACGGTCTATTCTTTATGGAAAATTTATCTGATATCGTTTAAATGGTATTTTTGGGAAGAAGGAGAAACAAAAACGTATTCTCAGTACTCTCTTTTAAGTGGGGAAAAATGAATTTTCCTTGGGTAACCGGTTTCCTGTATTGATAGATGTTTTCATTTGTCGTTGCCTAGTAAAATATCAAGCAGATGATGTTGAACAGTTTCCCTTAATTGGTCCAAGTAAAACAGCTTTCCCCAACTAAGGTCATGCTTTTGGGCGATATTATCAGCTTTCCATGAGATTGTTTTCAAACATTCCTGAAAGGTCGTGCACAGCATTGAGATCTATGGGAACACTTGTTCTCCAGCTGGCTCTGTGGCTTCATTGAGCATTAGCCCCGTTTGGAGAACACAGAATCAAAATGACAGCACTCCACTTGAGACTAAAGAAGACTCCCTAGATGGATGAGAAATTGGCATGAAATCCCACAGAGCAGAAAGTGAATGCAAAGTGACATCATATCACATCACGTAGAATAAGCACTTCCTGGGGCCAGCACTGTGCCTTTGTGGGCATCCTAAATCTGGGAGGGCTGCCGTGGCCTTGGGAGCTGATACTCTTGCATTTAGCAAAAGATGTATATGCCCTTCTCAAGGGCAGGGTTCATTCATTCACTCACCAGATATCCCCTAAGCACCCACCATTAGCCGGGAATTGTGCTAGTGGCTGTGGATTCAGCAGTCAGCAGTCCGAACAAGTCCTGCCCTCATTCTAATGGGCAGCTGGAATAAATGAGGGGCAAGTAAATAGATGAGAAGCTCAGAAGGTGTTTAAGCGTTGGGAAGACAACAAGTGGAGGAATGTCTCTGTCAGAAGGGGAAGCAACATTTCATACAACAGCCACAGGAGGCCTCTGCTGGGACGTGGCTTCCAACCTGAGACCTGAAGGATAAAGAACCAGCCAAGGAAGACTGGAAGAAAGAGTGCCTCAGGGAAGGGCTCAGCAGTAGGCAAGATCCTGGCATGTTTGAGAATCTGAGAAGCCCACGTGGCTTGAGCAAGGTGGTATGAGGTGCCAGCAGAGTAGAATATGTAGAGCTTTGTAAGTCGGGGGCAGGGGTATTATCTGTATTCCAAGACTGGGTTTCTCAACCATGGCACTGCAGGCTTTGGGGCTGGATAATCCTTTTGGTGAGGGGCTGTTCTGTGCATGGTAGGATGTTCAGCAGCCTCCCTGGCTCTGCTCATGAGATGCTGGTATTACGTCCCTCCTGCCAGGTTGTGACAACCCAAACCGTCTCTAGACATTGCCAAATGCCCTCTCTGGGGCAGGTTGAGAGACACTGCTCTAAAGAAGTGGAAACTGCTGACCTGTATTAAGCAGGGAGGCCTGCTGAGGGGCTCTCAGAGGGTCTGCACCGAAAGGTGGACGCTCTCCACGTCACCCACCTGCTCGTGCCCCCTGCCTCTTTGCGGCTAAGGCCTCTTGCTTCTTACTACAGCATTCTTATCCTGAGTTTGACTGGTGGACTTCTTATCATAAATGCCTCAGCTCACACAGTCCTCTGGAACCCCCTATCTAAGCTAACTCCCCAGCTCCAGCCCCTCTCCTACATCATCCTTTCGGGACATTCTTGTCACTCCTGCAATGGCCTTGTGTGCCATCTCCACCAGTCCACTAGAATGGAAGCTGCGTGAGTGCAGGGATCTTGTCTGTAACCTTCAACCCTGGAAACTGGTGCCCCGACCAGTACCTGGCCCATGGCTACTGCTCAGTCAATGAAGTTCGCTAATGCATGAGATGGCCCTGCCTCTAGCCCACTTGGTGACACATGCTGTGGCTGCCCCACCTTTCCAGGGCAGGCTGGAGGTTCCAGGCATTCTCACACCCAGGAGCAGGTGTAGCAATGACTGAGGGAGTCAGTGGCTATGTACCCACGTGCACCTCAGCTTTCTTACCCCAGCATGGGCCAGTTCCGAGGTGTGCTCCATTCAGTGTCCCAGAGCTCCCAGGCCAGCTGGACTCTCAGTTGCCCACAGCAGTAACGTCTCACAAACACACCTGGTATGGGCAGCCTCTCTTCCCCTGCTCACTCCTCCATCCCCTCCTGGTACAATCTGGGTTCACTGCCTATGTTCACTTGTGAAGGCTGCTGTGACAAATTACATGCTTGCAGGCTTCAAACAAGAGAATGGTATTCTTTCACTGTTGTGGAGTCAGACGCCCGGACTCAAGGTGTTGGCAGGGCCAGCTTCCCCCCGGAGGCTCGGGAGAATCTGTTTCTTCTCTCTTCCAGCTTCTGTGGCTGCTGGCCATCCCTGGCATCTCTTGTCTTGTAGCTGTATCACTCTAGTCTCTGCCTCTGCCTTCATGTCCCCTTCTCCTCTATGTTTTCTCCTCTGTCTCTTATAACGACACTTATCACTGGACTTAGGACCCACTCAGGTGATCCAGGATGATCTCAAAGTCCTTATTAACACCTGCAGAGATCCTCTCTCCAAATGAGAGAGCATTTGCAGGTTCCAGGGATTAGGAAATGGGCACATCTTTTAGGGGTGGGGGACACCATTCAACCTGCCCTAATATAATCCTTACAGTCAAATCTCAGCATTGGCCTCTGGGAGATCCAGGCCTAAGGTGGGTGATCTTAGCAAGCCACATGCCCCAGTCTGAGCCTTGACTTTCTCATTACTATAGCAAGAAGACAGGCTTGATGGTTTTCTGTTCTCTTATGGCGATGTGGTTTTCAGTTGCTTTTTGAGCAAGAGGCTGAGGGAGGGCTGCTCTGAGATGCAAGACCCTGCCAGGTGGCAGCAAGGGGCCGATACCTAGCAGTTCTGCAGCTCCCAGAGAGAATTCCCACCACTCAAAGAGGCGTGTGATCAAGTGGTTCTGTGGGGAGATGATTCTCACCATCTGGAGTGCTGAGGAAAAATGTAATTACCATTTGTTTCTAAATACAAAGGAAGTGTTTAAAGGCAAAACACCCCAACAGGAATATCTTTACTTCTGGGCACTTGGCTGGGAAGGCAGGCCTCCTGTCTGTGCCGTCCTGCTTGAGGCAGGGGAGGGGTCATTCACCAGGGCTGCCTCCTGAACCGGGAGCAACAGCACCCGAAGGAGGAAGGGGCTCTAACTGCGGCTGCTTGCTCCTTTTTAACAGCTGAGCGGACTGCTCCAAGTGTGTGTGCGAACGGGAACAGAGACCCAAGCCAAATTCACCTCCGTGGAGCTGCTCAGGGAATACATTTTGGTAAGAAATTAGTGTATCAAAGAGGAGGGACAAGTTCATTTTGGCAGGAATTGGGCAAATATTGGATCTTTTTAGATGCGAAAGGGGTCTTTTTAAAAAACTGAAATCGGACTGGGCGTGGTGGCTTACGCCTGTAATCCCAGAACTTTGGGAGGCCGAGGTGGGCAGATCACCTGAGGTTAAGGGTTCGAGACCAGCCTGGCCAACATGGTGAAACCATGTCGCCACTAAAAATACAAAAATTAGCCAGGCATGATGGCGAGCAGTGGTAATCCCCGCTACTCGGGAGGCTGAGGTAGAAGAATCACTAGAGCCCAGGAGGTGGAGGTTTCGGTGAGCTGAGATCCTGCCATTACACTCCAGGCCAGGACAACAAGAGTAAAACTCCGTCTCAAAAATCAAAAACAAAACAAAAAAAACCCCCAAATCGGATGAGTCATCCCTCTTATTAAAACCTGTATTTACAATACATTCTAAAGTCCTTGATGTTGAATGTGAGCTTCTTTTTAACAAGGTTTCCTTAAGGGCTGTTTTGATACACAGAAAAATACAATTCAGTGGTTTACTTTGGTTTCTAAAAATTAATATTTGGCCAGGCGCAGTGGCTCACACCTGTAATTTCAACACTTTTGGAGACCAAGGCAGGAGGATTGCTTGAAGCCAGGAATTTGAGACCAGCCTGTGCAGTATAGTGAGACGCTATCTCTCCAAAAAAAAAAAAAAAAGTTAAATTTTGCCATGTGTGGTGGCGTGCACCTATAGTCCTAGCTACTGAGGATGTTAAGGAGGGAGGGTCACTTGAGCCCAGGAGTTTGAAGCTGCAGTAAGCTATGATGATGCCATTGCACTCCAGCCTGTGCAACAGAGCTCGACCCTGACTCTAAAATTTTTTTAAGTTAAAAATTATTATTTGATTGATTAAAGTCATAAGTTGAAAAAATAGAAGCCCAGTCTGATGCTTCTTTAAAAGCTTTTATATCCAACTTACAAATCTTGCGATTCTTTTAAAAGAAGTCTAGCCAATTCTAGCAATCACATTTAGGTGTCTTTGAAGAGTGGCTCCATTTACAAACTTAATTAAACACTTTAAAACATTTTAAACTGCATTTTAAAATTTAATACATTCAGTTTCTTTTTTAACTACCTCAATGATCTGATTGAACCACAAACCTTCCTGAGTTTGTATAACTTTAATAAATTAAACTTATAAATATAGTAAGCGCTAAGTTTTCATGACAGAATCAATGCTATAAACAGTAAATTTTTAACGTAAAATCATGTTTAAATCAATTATTCAATTGTACATTTTAAATTAGCATCACCAGCCCAAGTTCTGTTAATATATTGTGAATACTTGAAACACCAAGCATGCAGATTTCTTAAAGTAAAAATATGACTGTTACAGTTTCGTTTCTCTAAAATATTTTTATTCCTAATTCTAAATCTTCTAGGCGTTAAAAAATACTCAGTCCTTAACAATACAGGTATTTTCTCAGCTAAATGAGGTTGCTTATTGACCAGAGATGTGGGCTGGTCAGCCACCCTGATGGGGCACACGGGATTCCTAATTCCAGCTGTTTACACAGAGGTGACTTAAGAGGAGGGGCTGCTCTTGTGATGAAGCCAAGCTGCCCTTCTCCTTAATCAGACCTTGCATTTCTTGGACTCTTAGGGGACTTAAATGATTTTTTTTTTTTCATGTATCTCTAAAGACCTCTGAACTTGACATCCTGCATTCTTACCATCTTTCTACTTCTAGCATGATGATAATTCTTGCAGATCTTGAAATTATATCTGGTTGAATTCTGCAAATCTCAAGGCTCTCTCTGGCCTTGTCAAACAGCTTCAGGGCTACACTTCCGACATTTTCCCAGGCCCACAGGCCCAGTATGAGCTTCCCTTGTGTATTCCTCTAAGTCATCCATCCCTCTATTCGCTAAGCTCCAGCCACATGATTTTTCTTTCCATTCCTCAAATTGCCCAAGCTCATTCTGGCCCTGGGGCCTTTGGACTAGCTGTCCCCCCAACCTGGAGGGCTCCGGACTTGATCCTCTTGTAGCTGGCATCCTCCCAGCACTCCAGCCCTCAGCTCCAATGTCACATAGGCGCCTTCCTCAAACCTCAAGTACTTTTACTCTCCCATCCCCCTTGCCCAACACACAAATCACATTCTATATCCTATTGCAATACTCTGTTTTGTTGTCTTCATTTTTAATTTTTTTTCTTGTTTATTATCTGACATCCCCACTGGAATGTGAGTTTCTAGAATTAAGGGTCATTATGGTTTATTTCACCACCATGAATAGCAGTACCTGAAACTGTGTGAATCAATGAATGAATTAGTTAAATAAATGAAAAAACAAATGGCCATTCACTGGTCATTGGTTGTTCTCCTTTACAGACCTGTGTTCCTGAATGCACTCATCCCCTCAAAGTGGGGACCTGTCCCAAAGACTGGCCCAGCCATGGGGAGATCACCTTCAGAGACTATCAGATGAGATACAGAGACAACACCCCCCTTGTTCTCGACAGCCTGAACCTGAACATACAAAGTGGGCAGACAGTCGGGATTGTTGGAAGAACAGGTTCCGGTGAGGACAAGCTGTGCTTTTGTTTCTTTTAGGTTGTTTTCTTTGGATTTCCACTGGATGTCCTAGTTAAGTCACACCAGAGAGTGATGTGTATGTGTGTCAGATTGGCTGTTATTTCTCTCAAATCTCTTTACTGTAAATTAGGATTTCAGGTTGAATGGGTGTGTGGAGATGGAAGCAGACACATCAGTTTTTGAATTAATTAAATGACAATCATTCTAGTGCAACAGGGCCCCAGAGATGAGTTGTGTGCTAAGGGCCCTTGCAAGGATGAGCAGGTTAACTGTGTCAGGGTAGCCCATCCCTCCACCCCGACCCCGGTGAGGACACTTTCTGTCTACACCATCATCCTTATGGAGCTATTTGCATTGCATTAAAAATCCCACTAATTAAATGCTTCAATATGATGGAAGCACAAACTGATGTTTGATTTGTTGTTCTTGCTTTTATGGCTCCCAGGAAAGTCATCGTTAGGAATGGCCTTGTTTCGTCTGGTGGAGCCAGCCAATGGCACAATCTTTATTGATGAGGTGGATATCTGCACTCTCAGCTTGGAAGACCTCAGAACCAAGCTGACCGTGATCCCACAGGATCCTGTCCTGTTTGTAGGTACAGTAAGGTAGCTGTTTTTAATCATTGTGCATTCCTATTTTTGGAGAGTGAAATCAGACTGACCAAGAACTTTGTGATATCCCCAGGGCATGGCTGGCCTGGAGCTGTTCTGTCTGAGGGAAGCAGCATCCCAGAGGGTTCACAAGCACTGCTGGTCCCTGTTTCTGCCTCCAACCTTGGGAGGAGCCAGGCCCCAGGGGTCTGAGCATTGCTTGTGTTTTATAAACACATTATCAATGAACAGGATGCTTCTATATTCATTCATACACTGAGCAGATATTCCGGTGGCTCTGGACAGCCCTAGTTTATGCCTGTGTCCCAGCATCCCATCAGGTTTAGCAATGGCCACTCTGAAAAGTGTCCCAGTGTGCACAATAAAATAAATAGTTACCTCACATATATAGCTGTCCATTTCGAAGTGCATTCATTTATTTCCACAACTAAGTGAACAGAAGCTATTCCAAGCAAGAACAGTAGGGCTGCAGCTTCTGTGGGGCTCCAGATCTGATATCAAGGCACAAGGGGAAAGGCAGTTTCTCAGTTAGCCAGTGCAGTGGCTCTCTGTAATGAGAGGAACATTTCTCCCATAGCGCACCAGATGAAGTAGGGTAACTGTATTTACTGTATTTAGAGTTCATTGTTTGAAAAATGCATTCTGCCTCTTGAAACAGTAGATTTACATTCTGTGTCTGAACTGCTCAGCACCCTGTGAGGCCCCAGGAGCTGCCGATGCATGGAGTGGCAGATTTGGGTTGCTCACTCTCCCTCTTTCTCTGCCAAGAATTTTATCAGTTCAAACCCACTCTGCTACTCGGGGCTGCTGAGAGGCCCAGGTGTGTCTTTCTGAGCACCTTGCTCAGAGCTGCCTCTCGGCAGGGTACCACCTGTCATTGCCTGCCTCGGCGGTTTCTGCTCCATCACAGAGTTGTGGACCCTTGGTCTCGTGGCCTGAGGTCCGTATTTTGTGGACCACTGTCCTGGACTGAGGACGATTCTTGGAGCATGAGGTCATCACATGCCACCTCCTACCCTCCTCCACATGCTACAGAAAGCCTGCTCCCCATCCATCCTCTCGTCCTTGGAAATCCGGCTCCCTGTCCTTTCCTCTCCTTCATTGCAGGTACAACTTGGATCCCTTTGAGAGTCACACCGACGAGATGCTCTGGCAGGTTCTGGAGAGAACGTTCATGAGGGACACAGTATGTCTCTGGGGCTGTTGAGGAGGAGTTTGTTTCCCAGCACCACTGCCCTAGATTCCTGGCCTAGGTTTAAATTTGACAAGCACCTAGGCCAGCACTTAGCCAAGTTTATTTTTGGACACCACATAAGTCAGTAGAACATAATCCTTAGTTACTCTTTCCTATTAAAAGCAACAATAGGGCTCTACAATGACCCAGTCAAGAGCACTACGTGTATCATCTCACTTGGTCCTTACTACAATGCTCTGAGGTTGGTACTCTTACCCCTAATTTTAGAGATGAAGAAATTAAAGCTCAGGGAAGTAACATGCCCAGGCCAGTGAGTAGCCGGGTGGAGACTTGAACGCAAGCCTATCTGGCTGTAGAGCAGATGGAAGGCCCTGCTACTCTGCCAATGGCCTCATTTGCTTATCAGAACAGACAAGCCACAGAAAACGGGAGGGTGTGGAATGTTCTGGGAATAGCAAGTATGGCTGGTTGGAGAGAACTGAACCATCTGTGAGAGGGGACCCTGTCCTATAAGAACTACAACCCCAGCTGAGGTCAGCAGGTAAGCATGACCACCTCTACAGCCCAACATGATATTTTTCCAGGACTTGGTGTACCAACATGAGCATCTTCCAAGGCCACTTTGGCTTGTCACTCTGGATAAACCAGACCCTGTCTTACCCTTCCTTAATGTCCAGGAAACTCTCCCATCCCATCTCTATTTTGTCCATGCAAACAGCAATCCAGAAGGCCATTTCCAGTTGCTTGTGTGCTCTCTGGAACTGCATTTGCATCATTTGTTCTTTTGGTGAATTGTCTACGGGGTTCTATGAATCATACTGTGATTTTAAATTATTAATGTCCGCCTACTCCCCGGTCTTTCCCTGGTGCCTGTTTGCAATATTGAAATGATTGTTGTTTTGCACTTTCTTTGCTATAGTAAAATAAAGCAAGCTGATGAATGCAAGAGAAGGGGGCAATCGATACAGACAGCATAGGACAATTTTATAGATCATCAGCACAAATGTGGCATTTTCTGTGTTTTATAGATAATGAAACTCCCAGAAAAATTACAGGCAGAAGTCACAGAAAATGGAGAAAACTTCTCAGTAGGGGAACGTCAGCTGCTTTGTGTGGCCCGAGCTCTTCTCCGTAATTCAAAGGTAAGAAAACACGGAAAATGGATTGGTTAAATTTTGGATATTTCCCGCAGCGCCACTCAATCCAGGAGGTAGTGCCAGGCGTATGTCTTTCAGCAAAGAGAGAGCAATTGAGCCATTTAAAAACCGATCACTTTTTCTTAAGACAAAGTTGTGAGGGATAAAAATTGAAAAGTAACAGCCATTTACAGCAAGAGCACCTTCCTCTCCCAGGCTTCCCCTGGGGAGGTCTCGCTTAGATTTTCACTCTGCTCGCCTAAGTGGTTTGAGTTTGAAAACTCTGTCTCCCAACTTTCTCCCATTGTCTCTGAACAATTCTGAATCTGGGTACACTGTCGCCAGGATGCTCAAGAGGGCCATCAGAATGCTAGGATATGGGAATTGTACAATTTATACTTATTTTTCTTTGTGACTTAGCCACCCTTATTTACTGATTTCCAGGAAGGGATTGCTGTTGCTTTAGTAATGTCAGTGTCTGAAGCCTCATCAAAGGTGTGACCCATTGTGTGTATTCTCCAGATGTGCTAATGTCAGGGGAGAGGGACCGGCATGGATCCAGTGCCTGCCGTGCTAAGTGGTTTAAGTGTCATCTTCATTTCTAGCTCATCAATAAGGCATAGCCCCCTTTCACCTATGAGGGAACAGAGCCTCGAGGAAGTTAAGTAACTTGGCCAGTCAAGCAGAGTCAGGGGTTAAGTTCAAGTGCTCTGATTTGCTAAATCAAATCCGCCCTGTGACCAACAGAATAATACCCCACCTCCCCAAAGATGTTAATGTCCTGATTTTTGGATGTTGTGAACATATTCATCCAAGACTTTTAATATATTAACTTACTTGGCAAAAGGGACTCTGCAGTTGTGATTATGGATCTTGAGATGGGGAGATCATCCTAGATCTGGGTGGGCCAAACGTATTCACATGGGGCTTTCCAAGGAGGAGGCAGAAGAGTCAAAGAGAGAGAAGGAGCTGTGATGCCAGGAGGGGCTGTGGGCCAAGGAATCCAAGTGGCCCAGAAACTGAAGAGGGCAAGGAAACAGAAAGAATGCAGCCCTGACAATACCTTGATTTTAGGATTTCTGACGTCTGGAACTAGAAGATAAATTTTATGTTGAGTCTCTAAGTTTATGATCGTTTGATATGGCAGCAATATAGGGAATGAATGTAAGTGCTGCTGTGCTTCATGCCGACTCAGGTTAGCATAATAGATAAAGCCTGTGCAGCCTGTCTCCCTATGAGTTTGTAGGGTTAGAATAAACCACTTAAAAAGAGGAGTAAAGGATATACAACCTTGTCCCTCTAGCAAGTTCCTTGGGAAAGATGGAGGTGATGTGATGTGAGTTTTACTTCACTCTTTTCTCTCTTTTTTTTTTGAGATGCATGTTTAGCTAATTACTTTTCATCTTGTGGTCTTCTTTTTCTTCTTCTTCTTTTTTTAAAGTAAATAGAGCCAAGGCTATAAATTCCCCTCTCGGTGCACCTTTGGCTTACCTTTACAATGTTCCCTCCTCGACAGATCATTCTCCTTGATGAAGCCACCGCCTCTATGGACTCCAAGACTGACACCCTGGTCCAGAACACCATCAAAGATGCCTTCAAAGGCTGCACTGTGCTGACCATCGCCCACCGCCTCAACACAGTTCTCAACTGCGATCACGTCCTGGTTATGGAAAATGGGAAGGTACAGGAAGCTCTTTTGGCTTCATCTCCCCAGAAATTTCAGTGGTTTGAGCTTTACAGTGGGTAGATATTTTCTGCTGATTTCAGTTTTTCTTCTCTGACTTTCAGGTGATTGAGTTTGACAAGCCTGAAGTCCTTGCAGAGAAGCCAGATTCTGCCTTTGCGATGTTACTAGCAGCAGAAGTCAGATTGTAGAGGTCCTGGCGGCTGATTCTAGAGGAGGAAGAGGCTCTGTGAGATGAGTAGGAGGGGTCTTCAGGAGGGGGAGCTGTCCTCTCTGCAAGTAGCCCTGGTCTCCAGCCCCTCCCATCCATGAGTGGGCTGGCGCTGAAGTTGTCCCCCGTGTCATACTCAGTCCATGTCACCCCACTTGGTGGGCTTGGGGTTGGTTCTGGGTGGTGAACCTAGGCAGACAAAGCTAATGGACTAAAAAACTGCCCTTCACCTCCCAAAACCCCAAGGGTTCCTCATGTGTTTTCACCAAAACCACCCCACTGCCTAAGAATGAATATATTGTAACTTTCAGTTAGAAACCAGCCACAATAAAGAAAATGGGAAAATGTCTTAGGATGGAGTTTGCAAGGTTTCCTTGCCCGTTATCAGAAGGAAAAAGAGCAGAATTTTCTTCTCGTTTAGCCCCACTCACTTCCATCTTGACTGGATGACAAGCAGTAACTACACAGATCTGTAGCATGAAAGATTGAATACAGTGTTTGGCCAAAAAAATTGTTTTTTAAATCATATTATATGTTTCAATTGATCTATTAGAATAACCAAGAAAACAAAATGCTGGAGTTTCTCTATAAATGACACTTTTGTATCTTCTTTATTGGTCATTAAAACGCAGTAGGAAATTACCCTGAAATGTTGCCTTGCAATTATTTCACTGACGATATTCCAATTTCTGTACTACTTCCTCTCATAGACCCTTGTTGCCTTCTCCCTTTACTCAGTAATGAACCCTCACAGTCGCTTACCAAATAAAAGGCTTTCTCTCCAACCTTGAGGCTGGTTCTGATGGAAGCAGTAAAGGTGTATTCCCAGCAGCCCCAGGAGTGAGCGCTGCGAATTCATGGTGACATTTGAGAAAAAAAAAAATTTATAGAAAATCCGGCAAGCTCTTGTGTAGTAGCCGCCAAGAGGCAGGCCGGCAGTTCTGGCTATTTCTCATTCGTCAGGAATGAAGGCCCTATGAGGTTTCCTGGGCCTGCTTTCCAGGCCCCAGGCTGAACTCTAAACACAGCTCAGGGCAGTGTGGTCAGCAAAGCTTCCAGATGGCAACCCCCCACCCCACTTCCCTTCTAAGTGTTGGTCACGTCCTTGCTTCCCCAGACATGGAGGAAGGAGTGCCTGACACCTGGGAGCACCCGGGGAACACTTGTGGCAGCCATGAATGACAGCATCTAATGAACTCACTCAAACACAGCTGTGGAGCCTGGCGAACATCCCTCCCAGGTGCGTGTGCATGTTAAGAGCTTAATCTGGATTTCTGGCCAACAAGCCAATAGCCAGCAATTCAAGGGCTGGGCATGTGATGTTCACCTCCAACCGATTATTCTCCAGCCCTCCTCCAGCCAGGCCTAGGCAGGGGTCTACCCAACCAGCGGGGAGGCGAGCACACCTGGCCTCAAGTAGAGTTTATGGCCTGGCAAGTGTGTGAAAGCCCTGGCCCAGCAGCTTGGCAGCAGTAGATCCTGCCCTCAGCAGAGGGTGCACCAAGACATGTGGCTGAGAAGGACGTGAGCCAGGGGTTTCCTTCCGTGGACAGCTCCAGGCCAAGTGTGGATCTGTTTGTGAAGGGACACAGTGTATCTTTGCCTGATCTGAGCTTTCCCCCATGGTGTATAACCCTGACCGAAGGTCATTAAACCCACATCCATGGGAATCCATGACAGTTGTGCAATGTCAGGGAGGGATGCTTTATTTTCTACCAACTTGACACCAGCCAGATAATCAGTCTGTGATTTCAAGAGGTGGTGTTTTCATGAGGACAGGGGATAGGCTACAATGATCCCTGCTGCTCCTTCAGATGCACTGAGAGAGGAATCACCTCCTATGACTCCTTTTCTGCCCACACTCGCTTTGGTTTACTCTGGCAGAAGAACACCGACATTGATCCTGATGTCTACTGAGACCTTGCACTGTGCCAGGGACTGTGACAAGCATTTTTTTCATGAATTATTTCACTGAATCCTCACCTCACCCCATGAGATGGGAATTGAGGCTCACTGAGGTTAGTAACTTATCTACAGATGCCCAGGAAGGAAGGGACAGAGATAGGACTTGAACCCTAACCAGTCTGGCTCCACAGTCCCTGCTCCCAACCCCTTCACAACAAAGCCCCTCCAGTCCTTTCCCCTTGGCCTGTTGCAGGGACAGTGGTGGTCATCAGCATCCTCCCTGGGGGAGAGTGACTTCTGAGGGTTTGGCTGTTTGCATGTATAAGCCATGAAACCATCTTAGTAAACCCCTCTCCCACCCCAATCCCTTGCTGTCACTGCCATATCAGCTAAGGGGAGGCTATGTGGAATAATAGTAGCCATTTAGCCAAATTCCTCAAAGCACAGGCTTAGGTTATTAAATCCTCAACATATCCCTGTGGGGTAGGTACCTGCTATGATCTGAACGTTTGTGTCTCCCCAAAATCCTCATGTTGAAACATAATCCTCAATGCGACTGTATAGACGTAGGGCCTTTAGGAGGTGATTAATTAGGTCATGAGGGTGGAGCCCTCATCACTGCAGAAATAAATACAATAAAAATAAAACATGTGCTGTTAAATTCCATGCAACACTGCTGGAAATGTGATCCTCCTGGTGAGAAAGAGCAGTGCCTGTGTTGTAAAGCCTGAGTACTAGTCAAGGTAGACTCAGTTATGCTGCAGTAACAAAAGACCCCAGACCACACTGGCTTATTTCTTGCTCGTGTGATATGCTCATCACAGGTGAGCTGCAGCTGTGCTTATCCTCTTCACTCTGCAACCCAGCGGAGCAGAGCAGTCTCTGCCAGGAACATCGTGTTTTGTGGTAGAGCGCAGGCAGACATGGCAATCGGAAGCGATACATGCTACTTTCATCCACACTTCATGGGCAAAACAAATTGCCTGGCTGCTCCTGAGTTCAACAGTGTGGGTAGTGGTGGTGGTATATACCCTATTCCAGAGAGAGGACCACCACAAGGCACAAGGACCAAGCTTATTCCAGCAGGAGTTGTATAAGCTTCCTCTTTGGAGGGGCAGCAAATATTTTGAACAATACGACAACCTACTATAGCCTGGGTTGGGATCTTCGTTCTGCCACTGAGTGGCTGTGTGATATGGGGAAAGTAGCTTGCCTTCTCTGAATCTCCATTCCATCTGTAAAATTTGGACAAAGTGCTAAGGTCTTTTTCATTCTTGACTTTCAATACAGGAGAAACAAAAAAGGAAATATGAAAACAGTTTCTGTAGGAATTTAGGCATTCAGAGGGGATAGAGTACCCTTTAAATGTAATTAAATGTTTTTGTTGTTGTTGTTGTTTTGAGATGTCACCCAGGCTGGAGTACAATGGCGCGATCTCGGCTCACTGCAACCTCCACCTCCCAGGTTCAAGCGATTCTCCTGCCTCAGCCTCCTGAGTAGCTGGGATTACAGGTGTGCACCACCATGCCTGGCTAATTTTTGTATTTTTAGTGGAGATGGGGTTTTACCATGTTGGCCAGGCTGGGCTCGAACTCGACCTCAAGTGATCCGCCCGCCTCAGCCTCCCAGAGTGCTGGGATTACAGGCATGAGCCACCGCGCCTAGCCTTGAAATTTTTATTCTCATTTATTTCGGTGCCCCAGCTTTGCTGTGCTCTGCTATCATCTGCCTTTTGGGTGATCATATGCTCAATGTTATGAATTAGGACCTTTTGAATAGTCTCTATTAGATGCCAACAGAGAATGGAATAAACCGTTTACAAGCACTGTGGTTATAAATTAGTAACAAATTGCCTGTGACTTGTTTCATCAATGCTTGTATCCTGGAGTTAATTTTGAGGCTACCTGGTCTAGAAAAAGTGTGGACAAATTAGCCCATAGGCCAAATCCAGCAGGCCTACCTGTTTTTATAAATAAAATTTCATCAGAATGCAACCATGCTCATTTGTTAATGCATTACCTATGACAGCTTTCACATTCCGACAGCAGAGTGGAGTGACTGTGACCAAATGTATATCTTCAAAGCCCAAAATATTTACTATCTTGTTCCTTTACAGAGAAAGGTTGCTGTCTCCTGATTTGGGGCATTGGCATGGGATATGATTCACATGAGGGGGAGTTCTGTTGGTTGTCGGGATGGGGTTTGGAAGGCATACCCTCCCATTGCCTGGTCTGTCTGGGGAGTCGGCAGCCTCGTGTGAGCATGAAGGAAGCAAGCAGATGGACAGAGCACAGGGACTTGCTTACTGCACTGAGCTGCTGATATACCAACCCCATAGTCACCCTATCTCTTGTCTTTTCTTTTTTAAATTATAGATTCAGGGGGTACGCATGCAGGTTTGTTACATGGGTATATTGTGTGATGCTGAGATTTGCGCTCCTGGTGTGCCCATTACCCAAGCAGTGAAAACAGTACCCAATAGGCAGTTTTTCAACCCTTGTTCCCTCCCCACGTTTGGAGTCCCCAGTGTCTGTTGTTCCCATCTTTATGTCCATGTGCACCCAATGTTTAGCTCCCACTTACAAGAACATGTGATATTTGCTTTTGTTTCTGCGTTAATTCACTTAGAATGATGGCCTCCAGCTGCATCCATGTTGCTGTAAAGGACATGATCTTATTCTTTTGTATAGCTCCATCCTCTTGTCCTGTTACAGAGGATACATTTTCCTTATTGTTTAATCCAGCTCTAGTTGGTCTTGCTGTTACTTGCAGCCTAAAGTGTTGTAAACAACACAGAAGAATCACATTCTTCTCCTCCCTCGCAAGATGCTGATCCTCACCTGAGGAAAAAAGAACCCCAGTCCCTGCCCTGCGAGTTACACCATCTCCTTCCCACTCAGATGTGGTCCAAGTGAGCCAGTTCACATTCAAGCAGGGAGGAGTTTCCGATTCTCATCTGTCCCCCAAGCTTCACGCAAATTATAAATATTCCCCTTGCCTTCCCTCCCTACTGCCTGAGATCAGAAAGACCCAGAGAGAACTCACAGGATTTTATTCCTGCTCTTCAAGTGAACAGATCTGAAATTGGCCCAGAATTGTTGGTAAAATATGAAATGTTCTTTGCTAAGAGCTGGAATCACTTTGGTCAGTACAGCATGGTTTAAAATGAATTGGAAAACGCAGGAGGTCAGTTTGGGGTCAGATGGACGATCAAAGAAATCACTTTTCTTTTGGCCCTGTGTAGAAGGTCACCTCTGGGTGAGGCCAAATCAAGCATTAAAGTCTTCAAATAAATGTCGATTTCCATGGAGAGGCCCTGCCTAACTTCATGACGTGCACATTCCTGGCTTTGGCTGAAAGCTTTCCCTCTGCTGAGACCAGCATTCAAGGACCAGACTGAGTCAGTTTCTATTGTTTTAGCACAAACCTGCCTCCTTCACCTGGCAAGAGCCACACCCAAAGAAACCTCAGCTTGGTTTGTGGCAATTGTTCTGCATTGCTCTAAATAATTTTTTTTTATTATGGTAAAATGTAAATAACAACATTTACCATCTTAACAATTTTAAGTGTATAGTTCAGTGGCATTAAATACATTCACGTTGTTGTGCAGCTATCACCATCATCCATCTCCAGATATTTTTCATTTTTCCAAACTGAAACTCTGTGCCCACTAAACTCCCCATTCCCCTGTCCCCCTAAAACCCTGCAGCCACTATTCTACTTTCTGTCTGCATGAGGTGCCTTA